GCCAATTTCAGATCTGTTCACTTGAACAGCAGGAATAAAATCCTGTGAGTTCTCTCTGGGTCTTTCTGATCTCAGGCAGTAGGGAGGGAAGGCAAGGGGAATATTTATAATTTGCGTGAAGCTTGGGGGACAGATGAGAATCGGAAACTCCTCCCTGCTTGAATGTGAACTGGCTCACTTGGACCACATCTGAGTGGGAAGGAGATGGTGTAACTCGCAGGGCAGGGACTGGGGTTCTTTTTTCCTCAGGTGAGGATCAGCATCTTGCCAGGGAGGAGAAGAATGTGATTCTTCTGTGTTGTTTACAACACTTTAGGCTGCAAGTAACAGCAAGACCAACTAGAGCTGGATTAAACAATAAGGAAAATGTATCCTCTGTAACAGGACAAGAGGATGGAGCTATACAAAAGAATAAGATCATGTCCTTTACAGCAACATGGATGCAGCTGGAGGCCATCATTCTAAGTGAATTAACGCAGAAACAAAAGCAAATATCACATGTTCTTGTAAGTGGGAGCTAAACATTGGGTGCACATGGACATAAAGATGGGAACAACAGACACTGCGGACTCCAAACGTGGGGAGGGAACAAGGGTTGAAAAACTGCCTATTGGGTACTGTTTTCACTGCTTGGGTAATGGGCACACCAGGAGCGCAAATCTCAGCATCACACAATATACCCATGTAACAAACCTGCATGCGTACCCCCTGAATCTATAATTTAAAAAAGAAAAGACAAGAGATAGGGTGACTGTGGGGTTGGTATATCAGCAGCTCAGTGCAGTAAGCAAGTCCCTGTGCTCTGTCCATCTGTCTTGCTTCCTTCATGCTCACACGAGGCTGCCGACTCCCCAGACAGACCAGGCAATGGGAGGGTATACCTTCCAGACCCCATCCCGACAACCAACAGAACTCCCCCTCATGTGAATCATATCCTATGCCAATGCCCCAAATCAGGAGACAACAACCTTTCTCTGTAAAGGAACAAGATAGTAAATATTTTGGGCTTTGAGGATATACATTTGGTCACAGTCACTCCACTCTGCTGTTGGAATGTGAAAGCTGTCATAGGTAATGCATTAACAAATGAGCATGGTTGCATTCTGATGAAATTTTATTTATAAAAACAGGTAGGCCTGCTGGATTTGGCCTATGGGCTAATTTGGCCACACTTTTTCTAGACCAGGTAGCCTCAAAATTAGCTCCAGGATACAAGCATTGATGAAACAAGTCACAGGCAATTTGTTACTAATTTGTAACCACAGTGCTTGTAAACGGTTTATTCCATTCTCTGTTGGCATCTAATAGAGACTATTCAAAAGGTCCTAATTCATAACATTGAGCATATGATCACCCAAAAGGCAGATGATAGCAGAGCACAGCAAAGCTGGGGCACCGAAATAAATGAGAATAAAAATTTCAAGGCTAGGCGCAGTGGCTCATGCCTGTAATCCCAGCACTTTGGGAGGCTGAGGTGGGTGGATCACTTGAGGTCAAGAGTTCGAGACCAGCCTGGCCAACATGGTAAAACCCCGTCTCCACTAAAAATACAAAAATTAGCCAGGCATGGTGGTGCACACCTGTAAACCCAGCTACTCAGGAGGCTGAGGCAGGAGAATCGCTTGAACCTGGGAGGTGGAGGTTGCAGTGAGCCGAGATCGCGCCATTGTACTCCAGCCTGGGTGACATCTCAAAACAACAACAACAACAAAAACATTTAATTACATTTAAAGGGTACTCTATCCCCTCTGAATGCCTAAATTCCTACAGAAACTGTTTTCAGATTTCCTTTTTTGTTTCTCCTGTATTGAAAGTCAAGAATGAAAAAGACCTTAGCACTTTGTCCAAATTTTACAGATGGAATGGAGATTCAGAGAAGGCAAGCTACTTTCCCCATATCACACAGCCACTCAGTGGCAGAACGAAGATTCCAACCCAGGCTATAGTAGGTTGTCGTATTGTTCAAAATATTTGCTGCCCCTCCAAAGAGGAAGCTTATACAACTCCTGCTGGAATAAGCTTGGTCCTTGTGCCTTGTGGTGGTCCTTTCTCTGGAGTAGGGTATATACCACCACCACTACCCACACTGTTGAACTCAGGAGCAGCCAGGCAATTTGTTTTGCCCATGAAGTGTGGATGAAAGTAGCATGTATCACTTCCGATTGCCATGTCTGCTTGCGCTCTACCACAAAACATGATGTTCCTGGCAGAGACTGCCCTGCTCCGCTGGGTTGCAGAGTGAAGAGGATAAGCACAGCTGCAGCTCACCTGTGATAAGCATATCACACGAGCAAGAAATAAGCCAGTGTGGTCTGGGGTCTTTCGTTACTGCAGCATAACTGAGTCTACCTTGACCAGTACTCAGGCTTTACAACACAGGCACTGCTCTTTCTCACCAGGAGGATCACATTTCCAGCAGTGTTGCGTGGAATTTAACAGCACATGTTTTATTTTTATTGTATTTATTTCTGCAGTGATGAGGGCTCCACCCTCATGACCTAATTAATCACCTCCTAAAGGCCCTACCTCTATACAGTCGCATTGAGGATTATGTTTCAACATGAGGATTTTGGGGGGACACAAACGTTCAGGTCATAGCAGGTACCTACCCCACAGGGATATGTTGAGGATTTAATAACCTAAGCCTGTGCTTTGAGGAATTTGGCTAAATGGCTACTATTATTCCACATAGCCTCCCCTTAGCTGATATGGCAGTGACAGCAAGGGATTGGGGTGGGAGAGGGGTTTGCTAAGATGGTTTCATGGCTTATACATGCAAACAGCCAAACCCTCAGAAGTCACTCTCCCCCAGGGAGGATGCTGATGACCATCACTGTCCCCGCAACAGGCCAAGGGGAAAGGACTGGAGGGGCTTTGTTGTGAAGGGGTTGGGAGCAGGGACTGTGGAGCCTGACTGGTTAGGGTTCAAGTCCTATCTCTGTCCCTTCCTTCCTGGGCATCTGTAGATAAGTTACTAACCTCAGTGAGCCTCAATTCCCATCTCATGGGGTGAGGTGAGGATTCAGTGAAATAATTCATGAAAAAAATGCTTGTCACAGTCCCTGGCACAGTGCAAGGTCTCAGTAGACATCAGGATCAATGTCGGTGTTCTTCTGCCAGAGTAAACCAAAGCGAGTGTGGGCAGAAAAGGAGTCATAGGAGGTGATTCCTCTCTCAGTGCATCTGAAGGAGCAGCAGGGGTCATTGTAGCCTATCCCCTGTCCTCATGAAAACACCACCTCTTGAAATCACAGACTGATTATCTGGCTGGTGTCAAGTTGGTAGAAAATAAAGCATCCCTCCCTGACATTGCACAACTGTCATGGATTCCCATGGATGCGGGTTTTATGACCTTCGGTCAGGGTTACGCACCATGGGGGAAAGCTCAGATCAGGGAAAGATACACTGTGTCCCTTCACAAACAGATCCACACTTGGCCTGGAGCTGTCCACAGAAGGAAACCCCTGGCTCACGTCCTTCTCAGCCACATGTCTTGGTGCACCCTCTGCTGAGGGCAGGATCCACTGCTGCCAAGCTGCTGGGCCAGGGCTTTCACACACTTGCCAGGCTATAAACTCTACCTGAGGCCAGGTGTGCTCGCCTCCCCGCTGGTTGGGTAGACCCCTGCCTAGGCCTGGCTGGAGGAGGGCTGGAGAATAATCAGTTGGAGGTGAACATCACATGCCCAGCCCATGAATTGCTGGCTATTGGCTCGTTGGCCAGAAATCCAGATTAAGCTCTTAACATGCACACGCACCTGGGAGGGATGTTCGCCAGGCTCCACAGCTGTGTTTGAGTGAGTTCATTAGATGCTGTCATTCATGGCTGCCACAAGTGTTCCCCGGGTGCTCCCAGGTGTCAGGCACTCCTTCCTCCACGTCTGGGGAAGCAAGGACGTGACCAACACTTAGAAGGGAAGTGGGGTGGGGGGTTGCCATCTGGAAGCTTTGCTGACCACACTGCCCTGAGCTGTGTTTAGAGTTCAGCCTGGGGCCTGGAAAGCAGGCCCAGGAAACCTCATAGGGCCTTCATTCCTGACGAATGAGAAATAGCCAGAACTGCCGGCCTGCCCCTTGGCGGCTACTACACAAGAGTTTGCCGGATTTTCTATAAATTTTTTTTTTCTCAAACGTCACCATGAATTAGCAGCGCTCACTCCTGGGGCTGCTGGGAATACACCTTTACTGCTTCCATCAGAACCAGCCTCAAGGTTGGAGAGAAAGCCTTTTATTTGGTAAGCGACTGTGAGGGTTCATTACTGAGTAAAGGGAGAAGGCAACAAGGGTCTATGAGAGGAAGTAGTACAGAAATTGGAATATCGTCAGTGAAATAATTGCAAGGCAACATTTCAGGGTAATTTCCTACTGCGTTTTAATGACCAATAAAGAAGATACAAAAGTGTCATTTATAGAGAAACTCCAGCATTTTGTTTTCTTGGTTATTCTAATAGATCAATTGAAACATATAATATGATTTAAAAAACAATTTTTTTGGCCAAACACTGTATTCAATCTTTCATGCTACAGATCTGTGTAGTTACTGCTTGTCATCCAGTCAAGACGGAAGTGAGTGAGGCTAAACAAGAAGAAAATTCTGCTCTTTTTCCTTCTGATAACGGGCAAGGAAACCTTGCAAACTCCATCCTAAGACATTTTCCCATTTTCTTTATTGTGGCTGGTTTCTAACTGAAAGTTACAATATATTCATTCTTAGGCAGTGGGGTGGTTTTGGTAAAAACACATGAGGAACCCTTGGGGTTTTGGGAGGTGAAGGGCAGTTTTTTAATCCATTAGCTTTGTCTGCCTAGGTTCACCACCCAGAACCAACCCCAAGCCCACCAAGTGGGGTGACATGGACTGAGTATGACACGGGGGACAACTTCAGCGCCAGCTCACTCCATGGATGGGAGGGGCTGGAGACCAGGGCTACTTGCAGAGAGGACAGCTCCTCCTCCTGAACACCCCTCCTGCTCATCTCACAGAGCCTCTTCCTCCTCTAGAATCAGCCGCCAGGACCTCTACAATCTGACTTCTGCTGCTAGTAACATCGCAAAGGCAGAATCTGGCTTCTCTGCAAGGACTTCAGGCTTGTCAAACTCAATCACCTGAAAGTCAGAGAAGAAGAACTGAAATCAGCAGAAAATATCTACCCACTGTAAAGCTCAAACCACTGAAATTTCTGGGGAGATGAAGCCAAAAGAGCTTCCTGTACCTTCCCATTTTCCATAACCAGGACGTGATCGCAGTTGAGAACTGTGTTGAGGCGGTGGGCGATGGTCAGCACAGTGCAGCCTTTGAAGGCATCTTTGATGGTGTTCTGGACCAGGGTGTCAGTCTTGGAGTCCATAGAGGCGGTGGCTTCATCAAGGAGAATGATCTGTCGAGGAGGGAACATTGTAAAGGTAAGCCAAAGGTGCACTGAGAGGGGAATTTATAGCCTTGGCTCTATTTACTTTAAAAAAAGAAGAAGAAGAAAAAGAAGACCACAAGACAAAAAGTAATTAGCTAAACATCCATCTCAAAAAAAAAAAAAAAAGAGAGAAAAGAGTGAAGTAAAAGTCACATCACATCACCTCCATCTTTCCCAAGGAACTTGCTAGAGGGACAAGGTTGTATATCCCTTACTCCTCTTTTAAAGTGGTTTATTCTAACCCTACAAACTCGTAGGGAGACAGGCTGCACAGGCTTTATCTATTGTGCTAACCTGAGTCGGCATGAAGCACAGCAGCACTTACACTCATTCCCTATATTGCTACCATATCAAACGATCACAAACTTAGAGACTCCACATAAAATTTATCTTCTAGTTCCAGACGTCAGAAATCCTAAAATCAAGGTATTGTCAGGGCTGCATTCTTTCTGTTTCCTTGCCCCCTCCAGTTTCTGGGCCACTTGTATTACTTGGCCCACAGCCCCTCCTGGCATCACAGCTCCTTCTCTCTCTTTGACTCTTCTGCCTCCTCCTTGGAAAGCCCCATGTGAATACGTTTGGCCCACCCAGATCTAGGATCATCTCCCCATCTCAAGATCCTTAATCACAACTGCAAAGTCCCTTTTGCCAAGTAAGTTAATATATTAAAAGTCTTGGATGAATATGTTCACAAGATCCAAAAATCAGGACATTAACATCTTTGGGGAGGTGGGGTATTATTCTGCTGGTCACAGGGCGGATTTGATTTAGCAAATCAGAGCACTTGAACTTAACCCCTGACTCTGCTTGACTGGCCAAGTTACTTAACTTCCTCGAGGCTCTGTTCCCTCATAGGTGAAAGGGGGCTATGCCTTATTGATGAGCTAGAAATGGAGATGACACTTAAACCACTTAGCACGGCAGGCACTGGATCCATGCCGGTCCCTCTTCCCTGACATTAGCACATCTGGAGAATACACACAATGGGTCACACCTTTGATGAGGCTTCAGACACTGACATTACTAAAGCAACAGCAATCCCTTCCTGGAAATCAGTAAATAAGGGTGGCTAAGTCACAAAGAAAAATAAGTATCAATTGTACAATTCCCATATCCTAGCATTCTGATGGCCCTCTTGAGCATCCTGGGGACAGTGTATCCAGATTCAGAATTGTTCAGAGACAATGGAAGAAAGTTGGGAGACAGATTTTTCAAACTCAAACCACTTAGGCGAGCAGAGTGAAAATCTAAGCGAGACCTCCCCAGGGGAAGCCTGGGAGAGGAAGGTGCTCTTGCTGTAAATGGCTGTTACTTTTCCATTTTTATCCCTCACAACTTTGTCTTAAGAAAAAGTGATCGGTTTTTAAATGGCTCAATTGCTCTGTCTTTGCTGAAAGACATACGCCTGGCACTACCTCCTGGATTGAGTGGCGCTGCGGGAAATATCCAAAATTTAACCAATCCATTTTCCGTGTTTTCTTACCTTTGAATTACGGAGAAGAGCTCGGGCCACACAAAGCAGCTGACGTTCCCCTACTGAGAAGTTTTCTCCATTTTCTGTGACTTCTGCCTGTAATTTTTCTGGGAGTTTCATTATCTATAAAACACAGAAAATGCCACATTTGTGCTGATGATCTATAAAATTGTCCTATGCTGTCTGTATTGATTGCCCCCTTCTCTTGCATTCATCAGCTTGCTTTATTTTACTATGGCAAAGAAAGTGCAAAACAACAATCATTTCAATAGTGCAAACAGGCACCAGGGAAAGACCGGGGAGTAGGCGGACATTAATAATTTAAAATCACAGTATGACTCATAGAACCCCGTAGACAATTCACCAAAAGAACAAATGATGCAAATGCAGTTCCAGAGAGCACACAAGCAACTGGAAATGGCCTTCTGGATTGCTGTTTGCATGGACAAAATAGAGATGGGATGGGAGAGTTTCCTGGACATTAAGGAAGGGTAAGACAGGGTCTGGCTTATCCAGAGTGACAAGCCAAAGTGGCCTTGGAAGATGCTCATGTTGGTACACCAAGTCCTGGAAAAATATCATGTTGGGCTGTAGAGGTGGTCATGCTTACCTGCTGACCTCAGCTGGGGTTGTAGTTCTTATAGGACAGGGTCCCCTCTCACAGATGGTTCAGTCCTCTCCAACCAGCCATACTTGCTATTCCCAGAACATTCCACACCCTCCCGTTTTCTGTGGCTTGTCTGTTCTGATAAGCAAATGAGGCCATTGGCAGAGTAGCAGGGCCTTCCATCTGCTCTACAGCCAGATAGGCTTGCGTTCAAGTCTCCACCCTGCTACTCACTAGCCTGGGCATGTTACTTCCCTGAGCTTTAATTTCTTCATCTCTAAAATTAGGGGTAAGAGTACCAACCTCAGAGCACTGTAGTAAGGACCAAGTGAGACGATACACGTAGTGCTCTTGACTGGATCATTGTAGAGCCCTATTGTTGCTTTTAATAGGAAAGAGTAACTAAGGATTATGTTCTACTGACTTATGTGGTATCCAAAAATAAACTTGGCTAAGTGCTGGCCTAGGTGTTTGTCAAATTTAAACCTAGGCCAGGAATCTAGGGCAGTGGTGCTGGGAAACAAACTCCTCCTCAACAGCCCCAGAGACCTACTGTGTCTCTCATGAACGTTCTCTCCAGAACCTGCCAGAGCATCTCGTCGGTGTGACTCTCAAAGGGATCCAAGTTGTACCTGCAATGAAGGAGAGGAAAGGACAGGGAGCCGGATTTCCAGGGACGAGAGGATGGATGGGGAGCAGACTTTCTGTAGCATGTGGAGGAGGGTAGGAGGTGGCATGTGATGACCTCATGCTCCAAGAATCGTCCTCAGTCCAGGACAGTGGTCCACAAAATACGGACCTCAGGCCACGAGACCAAGGGTCCACAACTCTGTGATGGAGCAGAAACCGCCGAGGCAGGCAATGACAGGTGGAACCCTGCCGAGAGGCAGCTCTGAGCAAGGTGCTCAGAAAGACACACCTGGGCCTCTCAGCAGCCCCGAGTAGCAGAGTGGGTTTGAACTGATAAAATTCTTGGCAGAGAAAGAGGGAGAGTGAGCAACCCAAATCTGCCACTCCATGAATCGGCAGCTCCTAGGGCCTCACAGGGTGCTGAGCAGTTCAGACCCAGAATGTAAATCTACTGTTTCAAGAGGCAGAAGGCATTTTTCAAACAATGAACTCTAAATACAGTAAATACAGTTACCCTACTTCATCTGGTGCGCTATGGGAGAAATGTTCATCTCATTACAGAGAGAGCCACTGCACTGGCTAACTGAGAAACTGCCTTTTCCCTTGTGCCTTGATATCAGATCTGGAGCCCCACAGAAGCTGCAGCCCTACTGTTCTTGCTTGGAATAGCTTCTGTTCACTTAGTTGTGGAAATAAATGAATGCACTTCGAAATGGACAGCTATATATGTGAGGTAACTATTTATTTTATTGTGCACACTGGGACACTTTTCAGAGTGGCCATTGCTAAACCTGATGGGATGCTGGGACACAGGCATAAACTAGGGCTGTCCAGAGCCACCGGAATATCTGCTCAGTGTATGAATGAATATAGAAGCATCCTGTTCATTGATAATGTGTTTATAAAACACAAGCAATGCTCAGACCCCTGGGCCCTGGCTCCTCCCAAGGCTGGAGGCAGAAACAGGGACCAGCAGTGCTTGTGAACCCTCTGGGATGCTGCTTCCCTCAGACAGAACAGCTCCAGGCCAGCCATGCCCTGGGGACATCACAAAGTTCTTGGTCAGTCTGATTTCACTCTCCAAAAATAGGAATGCACAATGATTAAAAACAGCTACCTTACTGTACCTACAAACAGGACAGGATCCTGTGGGATCACGGTCAGCTTGGTTCTGAGGTCTTCCAAGCTGAGAGTGCAGATATCCACCTCATCAATGAAGATTGTGCCATTGGCTGGCTCCACCAGACGAAACAAGGCCATTCCTAATGATGACTTTCCTGGGAACCATAAAAGCAAGAACAACAAATCAAACATCAGTTTGTGCTTCCATCATATCGAAGCATTTAATTAGTGGGATTTTTAATGCAATGCAAATGGCTCCATAAGGATGATGGTGTAGACAGAAAGTGTCCTCACTGGGGTCAGGGTGGAGGGATGGGCTACCCTGACACAGTTAACCTGCTCATCCTTGCAAGGGCCCTTAGCACACAACTCATCTCTGGGGCCCTGTTGCACTAGAATGATTGTCATTTAATTAATTCAAAAACTGATGTGTCTGCTTCCATCTCCACACACCCATTCAACCTGAAATCCTAATTTACAGTAAAGAGATTTGAGAGAAATAACAGCCAATCTGACACACATACACATCACTCTCTGGTGTGACTTAACTAGGACATCCAGTGGAAATCCAAAGAAAACAACCTAAAAGAAACAAAAGCACAGCTTGTCCTCACCGGAACCTGTTCTTCCAACAATCCCAACTGTCTGCCCACTTTGTATGTTCAGGTTCAGGCTGTCGAGAACAAGGGGGGTGTTGTCTCTGTATCTCATCTGATAGTCTCTGAAGGTGATCTCCCCATGGCTGGGCCAGTCTTTGGGACAGGTCCCCACTTTGAGGGGATGAGTGCATTCAGGAACACAGGTCTGTAAAGGAGAACAACCAATGACCAGTGAATAGCCATTTGTTTTTTCATTTATTTAACTAATTCATTCATTGATTCACACAGTTTCAGGTACTGCTATTCATGGTGGTGAAATAAACCATAATGACCCTTATTTCTAGAAACTCACATTCCAGTGGGGATGTCAGATAATAAACAAGAAAAAAGTTTAAAAATGAAGACAACAAAACAGAGTATTGCAATAGGATACAGAATGTGATTTGTGTGTTGGGCAAGGGGGATGGGAGAGTAAAAGTACTTGAGGTTTGAGGAAGGCGCCTATGTGACATTGGAGCTGAGGGCTGGAGTGCTGGGAGGATGCCAGCTACAGGAGGATCAAGTCCAGAGCCCTCCAGGTTGGGGGGACAGCTAGTCCAAAGGCCCCAGGGCCAGAATGAGCTTGGGCAATTTGAGGAATGGAAAGAAAAATCATGTGGCTGGAGCTTAGCGAATAGAGGGATGGATGACTTAGAGGAATACACAAGGGAAGCTCATACTGGGCCTGTGGGCCTGGGAAAATGTTGGAAGTGTAGCCCTGAAGCTGTGTGACAAGGCCAGAGAGAGCCTTGAGATTTGCGGAATTCAACCAGATATAATTTCAAGATCTGCAAGAATTATCATCATGCTAGAAGTAGAAAGATGGTAAGAATGCAGGATGTCAAGTTCAGAGGTCTTTAGAGATACATGAAAAAAAAAATCATTTAAGTCTCCTAAGAGTCCAAGAAATGCAAGGTCTAATTAAGGAGAAGGGCAGCTTGGCTTCGTCACAAGAGCAGCCCCTCCTCTTAAGTCACCTCTGTGTGAACAGCTGGAATTAGGGATCCCGTGTGCCCCATCAGGGTGGCTGACCAGCCCACATCTCTGGTCAATAAGCAACCTCATTTAGCTGAGAAAATACCTGTATTGTTAAGGACTGAGTATTTTTTAACGCCTAGAAGATTTAGAATTAGGAATAAAAATATCTTAGAGAAACGAAACTGTAACAGTCATATTTTTAGCTTAAGAAATCTGCATGCTTGGTGTTTCAAGTATTCACAATATATTAACAGAACTTGGGCTGGTGATGCTAATTTAAAATGTACAATTGAATAATTGATTTAAACACGATTTTAAGTTAAAAATTTACTGTTTATAGCATTGATTCTGTCATGAAAACTTAGAGCTTACTATATTTATAAGTTTAATTTATTAAAGTTATACAAACTCAGGAAGGTTTGTGGTTAAATCAGATCATTGAGGTAGTTAAAAAAGAAATTGAATGTATTAAATTTTAAAATGCAGTTTAAAATGTTTTAAAGTGTTTAATTAAGTTTGTAAATGGAGCCACTCTTCAAAGGCACCTAAATGTGATTGCTAGAATTGGCTAGACTTCTTTTAAAAGAATAGCAAGATTTGTAAGTTGGATATAAAAGCTTTTAAAGAAGCGTCAGACTGGGCTTCTATTTTTTCAACTTATGACTTTAATCAATCAAATAATAATTTTTAACTTAAAAAAATTTTAGAGTCAGGGTCGAGCTCTGCTGCACAGGCTGGAGTGCAATGGCATCATCATAGCTTACTGCAGCTTCAAACTCCTGGGCTCAAGTGACCCTCCCTCCTTAACCTCCTCAGTAGCTAGGACTATAGGTGCACGCCACCACACATGGCAAAATTTAACTTTTTTTTTTTTTTTTGGAGAGATAACGTCTCACTATACTGGACAGGCTGGTCTCAAACTCCTGGCTTCAAGCAATCCTCCTGCCTCGGTCTCCAAAAGTGTTGAAATTACAGGTGTGAGCCACTGCGCCTGGCCAAATATTAACTTTTAGAAACCAAAGTAAACCACTGAATTGTATTTTTCTGTGTATCAAAACAGCCCTTAAGGAAACCTTGTTAAAAAGAAGCTCACATTCAACATCAAGGACTTTAGAATGTATTGAAATACAGGTTTTAAGAAGAGGGATGACTCATCCGATTTGGGGGTTTTGTTTTGTTTTGTTTTTGATTTTTGAGACGGAGTTTTACTCTTGTTGTCCTGGCCTGGAGTGCAATGGCGGGATCTCAGCTCACCGAAACCTCCGCCTCCTGGGCTCTAGTGATTCTTCTGCCTCAGCCTCCCGAGTAGCGGGGATTACCACTGCTCGCCATCATGCCTGGCTAATTTTTGTATTTTTAGTGGCAACATGGTTTCACCATGTTGGCCAGGCTGGTCTCGAACTCTTGACCTCAGGTGATCTGCCCACCTCGGCCTCCCAAAGTGCTGGGATTACAGGCGTAAGCCACCACGCCCAGTCTGCTTTCAGTTTTTTAAAAAGACCTCTTTCGCATCTGAAAAGATCCAATATTTGCCCAAGTTCTGCCAAAATGAACTTGTCCCTCCTCTTTGATGCACTAATTTCTTACCAAAATGTATTCCCTGAGCAGCTCCACGGAGGTGAATTTGGCTTGGGTCTCTGCTCCCGTTCGCACACACACTTGGAGCAGTCCGCTCAGCTGTTAAAAAGGAGCAAGCAGCCACAGTTAGAGCCCCTTCCTCCTTCGGGTGCTGTTGCTCCCGGTTCAGGAGGCAGCCCTGGTGAATGACCCCTCCCCTGCCTCAAGCAGGACGGCACAGACAGGAGGCCTGCCTTCCCAGCCAAGTGCCCAGAAGTAAAGATATTCCTGTTGGGGTGTTTTGCCTTTAAACACTTCCTTTGTATTTAGAAACAAATGGTAATTACATTTTTCCTCAGCACTCCAGATGGTGAGAATCATCTCCCCACAGAACCACTTGATCACACGCCTCTTTGAGTGGTGGGAATTCTCTCTGGGAGCTGCAGAACTGCTAGGTATCGGCCCCTTGCTGCCACCTGGCAGGGTCTTGCATCTCAGAACAGCCCCCCCTCAGTCCCTTGCTCAAAAAGCAACTGAAAACCACATCGCCATAAGAGAACAGAAAACCATCAAGCCTGTCTTCTTGCTATAGTAATGAGAAAGTCAAGGCTCAGACTGGGGCATGTGGCTTGCTAAGATCACCCACCTTAGGCCTGGATCTCCCAGAGGCCAACCCTGAGATTTGACTGTAAGGATTATATTAGGGCAGGTTGAATGGTGTCCCCCACCCCTAAAAGATGTGCCCATTTCCTAATCCCTGGAACCTGCAAATGCTCTCTCATTTGGAGAGAGGATCTCTGCAGGTGTTAATAAGGACCTTGAGATCATCCTGGATCACCTAGGTGGGTCCTAAGTCCAGTGATAAGTGTCGTTATAAGAGACAGAGGAGAAAACACAGAGGAGAAGGGGACAGGAAGGCAAAGGCAGAGACTGGAGTGATGCAGCTACAAGACAAGAGATGCCAGGGATGGCCAGCAGCCACAGAAGCTGGAAGAGAGAAGAAACAGATTCTCCCGAGCCTCCGGGGGGAAGCTGGCCCTGCCAACACCTTGAGTCCGGGCGTCTGACTCCACAACAGTGAAAGAATACCATTCTCTTGTTTGAAGCCTGCAAGCATGTAATTTGTCACAGCAGCCTTCACAAACGAACATAGGCAGTGAACCCAGATTGTACCAGGAGGGGATGGAGGAGTGAGCAGGGGAAGAGAGGCTGCCCATACCAGGTGTGTTTGTGAGACGTTACTGCTGTGGGCAACTGAGAGTCCAGCTGGCCTGGGAGCTCTGGGACACTGAATGGAGCACACCACGGAACTGGCCCATGCCGGGGCAAGAAAGCTGAGGTACACGTGGGTACATAGCCACTGACTCCCTCAGTCATTGCTATACCTGCTCCTGGGTGTGAGAACGCCTGGAACCTCCAGCCTGCCCTGGAAAGGTGGGGCAGCCACAGCATGTGTCACCAAGTGGGCTAGAGGCAGGGCCATCTCATGCATTAGCGAACTTCATTGACTGAGCAGTAGCCATGGGCCAGGTACTGGTCGGGGCACCAGTTTCCAGGGTTGAAGGTTACAGACAAGATCCCTGCACTCACGCAGCTTCCATTCTAGTGGACTAGTGGAGATGGCACACAAGGCCATTGCGGGAGTGACAAGAATGTCCCGAAAGGATGATGTAGGAGAGGGGCTGGAGCTGGGGAGTTAGCTTAGATAGGGGGTTCCAGAGGACTGTGTGAGCTGAGGCATTTATGATAAGAAGTCCACCAGTCAAACTCGGGATAAGAATGCTGTAGTAAGCAGCAAGAGGCATTAGCCGCAAAGAGGCAGGGGGCACGAGCAGGTGGGTGACGTGGAGAGCGTCCACCTTTCGGTGCAGACCCTCTGAGAGCCCCTCAGCAGGCCTCCCTGCTTAATACAGGTCAGCAGTTTCCACTTCTTTAGAGCAATGGCTCTCAACCTGCCCCAGAGAGGGTATTTGGCAATGTCTAGAGACGGTTTGGGTTGTCACAACCTGGCAGGAGGGACGTAATACCAGCATCTCATGGGCAGAGCCAGGGAGGCTGCTGAACATCCTACCATGCACAGAACAGCCCCCCACGAAAAGGATTATCCAGCCCCAAAGCCTGCAGTGCCATGGTTGAGAAACCCAGTCTTGGAATACAGATAATACCCCTGCCCCCGACTTACAAAGCTCTACATATTCTACTCTGCTGGCACCTCATACCACCTTGCTCAAGCCACGTGGGCTTCTCAGATTCTCAAACATGCCAGGATCACGCCTACTGCTGAGCCCTTCCCTGAGGCACTCTTTCTTCCAGTCTTCCTTGGCTGGTTCTTTATCCTTCAGGTCTCAGGTTGGAGGCCACGTCCCAGCAGAGGCCTCCTGTGGCTGCTGTATGAAATGTTGCTTTCCCTTCTGACAGAGACATTCCTCCACTTGTTGTCTTCCCAACGCTTAAACACCTTCTGAGCTTCTCATCTATTTACTTGCCCCTCATTTATTCCAGCTGCCCATTAGAATGAGGGCAGGACTTGTTCGGACTGCTGACTGCTGAATCCACAGCCACTAGCACAATTCCCAGCTAATGGTGGGTGCTTAGGGGATATCTGGTGAGTGAATGAATGAACCCTGCCCTTGAGAAGGGCATATACATCTTTTGCTAAATGCAAGAGTATCAGCTCCCAAGGCCACGGCAGCCCTCCCAGATTTAGGATGCCCACAAAGGCACAGTGCTGGCCCCAGGAAGTGCTTATTCTACGTGATGTGATATGATGTCACTTTGCATTCACTTTCTGCTCTGTGGGATTTCATGCCAATTTCTCATCCATCTAGGGAGTCTTCTCTAGTCTCAAGTGGAGTGCTGTCATTTTGATTCTGTGTTCTCCAAAGGGGGCTAATGCTCAATGAAGCCACAGAGCCAGCTGGAGAACAAGTGTTCCCATAGATCTCAATGCTGTGCACGACCTTACAGGAATGTTTGAAAACAATCTCATGGAAAGCTGATAATATCGCCCAAAAGCATGACCTTAGTTGGGGAAAGCTGTTTTACTTGGACCAATTAAGGGAAACTGTTCAACATCATCTGTTTGATATTTTACTAGGCAACAACAAATGAAAACATCTATCAATACAGGAAACCGGTTACCCAAGGAAAATTCATTTTTCCCCACTTAAGAGAGTACTGAGAATACGTTTTTGTTTCTCCTTCTTCCCAAAAATACCATTTAAATGATATCAGATAAATTTTCCATAAAGAATAGACCTTTAACAGTAAGGGGATTGAGGAGAGACAGCAGTGAATGAGCTACAAATTTCTACAAGATGGAAAGAGGATGAAAGCCTTTTGATAAAATGGAAGCAGAGCATGCTAGAGTTTAAAGAGCAGAACCCAGAGAGGCTCCAGGTATGAGAAGGGGGTCCACAAAGAGGCTGGCTGATAGGCTCTCTATATAGACAACCACTCCCGTCTGGTTCACTCACTCCTCTTCCCCTCTTTTTTCTCCTAACCAGAGTTAGTTGGACCCTTTTTCCCCAGGCATGGGGGCACACGTGCACACAGATACACACACATACACATGATTTTCTCTAAAGAAATTGAATTAACTGCCTGGGGATAAATGGGGCTCTCAGAATAGTCCCCACATAAAAACTTCTTTAAGTCTTGCATTTGGGTACCTAAAAGTCAGCTCCCTGGCTGCTTTCCTGAAGTGAAGCCAGCCTATGGAAAAGCCCCACCACCCACCTACTGTAGTCATAAAATTTCCCATCAGGGGACACCTAGCAAGGTGAAACAAAGGCAGAGGAAACTCTGAAAACCCAACCCAGTTCCCCGAGGTTAAATACAAATGGGTCGGGAGATAGATGGACAAAACCAACGGCACGAAAGAGCAAGAATGAGAGAAACAAAAAAGAAAAACTACCTCTGGAAGAAACAGATGCAAGTCAAAGAAGGGAGGAGAGTTTAGGAGGGGAAAAAAGATTCTAATTGATATGGTTTGGCTTTGTCCCTACCCAAATCATCTTGAACTGTAGCTCCCATAATTCCCACGTGTTGTGGGAGGGACCCAGTGGGTTGGGAGATAATTGAGTCGTGGTGGCAGTTTCCCCCATACTGTTCTCATGGTGGTAAATAAGTCTCATGAGAGCTGATGATTTTATGAGGGGTTTCCCCTTGTGCTTGGCTCTCATTCTCTCTTATCTGCCACCATGTAAGACGTGCCTTTCACCTTTCACCGTGATTGTGAGGCCTCCCCAGCCACATGGAACTGTGAGTCCATTAAACCTCTTTTTCTTTATAAATGACCCAGTCTCAGGTATGTCTTTATCAGCAGTGTGAGAACTAACTAATACACTAATTAATATCCTCAGAGAGATTCAAAAATACACTGCATCCATGTAAAAAGTGATTCTTTTAAAAACTCAGAGAATAAGAGCTTCTGGAAATTAAATATATGAATATAGGATTGCCAAATTTAAAATTCAAAGGAATAGCTGAATGGCAAAACTAATGAAAATTCCCAAGATAAAAAGACAAGAACATGGAAACTTTGAGAGAAAAGAAAAAGAAACATAGAGAATTGATGCAAGAAATTCAATATTCAACTGACATGAATACAGTAAGAAAAAAAAAAAAAAAGAAAAAGAGGACATTGTCAAAATGAAGGAGAAAAAGGAGACATGTTTCCAAGCTGATGAGAAATTTGACTTTAATCTTAAAGAACTCACAGCATCAAACAGAACACATGAATAAAGACCCACATTCAGATATATTATTCCAGAGTTTCACAGCACTAAGAATAAGGACTATGTCAAAAAGTTTCCAAAGATAACAAGATTCAAACAAACATGAGGTCCAGGTGGCCTGCATTCAAATCCTGGCCCTCACACATGACAGCTGTATGATCTCAGGCCAAGTCTTTCTGGGGCTCAGTTTCTTCATCTGCAAAATGGGGATCACGGCAGTACTGGAAGGTTGTTGTGGGGAGGAAATGAATTAATTTAGTTAAAAGACAGGGCCTGAAGCCAATCACAATCAGTGCCATATGTTCACCTATTATTGTTATTCAAAAGAAAAAAAAAAAGCAACCAAAAAGATAAATCAGTAATTATTTGTCATCGACATGATGACCGTCTCTCCGGCGTTCATTTCACTCCCTCCACTGTGGAGTAGCTATGTCACTTAAAGTTGGAAACAGGTGTAACTCCATCCCTAGCCTAACCAATGATCTGTATTCCACCAAACCACTAATTAGTTCTGGGATGCCTAAATTAATCTAATAAGAGTAAAGCTCCAGGCTTTTGCCTCCATGGCTGGGCCAGGAAATGCTTTCCTCCAATAAGAGTAAAGCTCCAGGCTCCTGCCTCCATGGCTAGGGCAGGAAATGCTTTCTTTCTGCTTCTTCTTTGCTGTAGACCCCAGAGGCTGCTGGTCACTTGTGAGGAAAGTCATCACAGGGCATGGGCAAAGCTCAGAGCCATAATCCCACTGTGCCTGAAGTCCACACAACCATCCTACTTTTTAAAGATGTGAGCCACTAAGCTCCCTTTCTCGTTTAAACCCATTCAGGTTGGGGTTTTTGTTCTGTCCATCCAAAAGCACCCCCCCGATGTATTATAAGCCGGAGCCTCCAGACTAAGCCCAACCTTGCACCAGGCATTACCTGGATGATGTATGACAATGACAGGCCTTTGGATGAAATGCTGATGGAGGAGAAACTCAGGGTCACCAACAAGGCCACAATGAAGGTAAGGATGTTCATGAGGACATCCGTTCTCAGCGCAAACCACCTGAGAGCACAGTTAAAGTAGAGGAGGTGACTGGAGTTTTCGTCATTTAGCATCTTAAACCTACAGTCAAGAAAATCAGAAAAAGCAGGAGATCGAGTTGTGCTTCTGTAGACTTAGGGTTAGGGTGACTGCAGAAATGAGGCCAGGGAATTTTTAATTGAGGGAATGCACTCTCACATAGCAAACTCTTACAAAAATGAACATATATTCATGCTCTTAAAAATCTGCCACTCTAGACATCTTTGATTTGCACATATTTTGGGAAATCTCATGTGGCAATAGAGTAGGGTGCTAAGTGGCTCTTTCTGTCTTTCCCAGAATTGGCAGCTAGAACCTACAGCTGAGAATAAGAGGTGCTGAATCCTTCACATTCTGACTCCAAAGGATCCCTATAATGGAGTCAGCCATCCTCAAAGGCTTTGTGGAACTGACAGTTGGCCCCCTTGATATATAGAAAGGGTGGGCATGGGTTGTGAAGCAGGTCACCTTTAGGGAAGTCAATGTTTGTGACCGTAGAGGAAGGAAGGGAGGGCACATGTCAGGTTTCCCTCCCTGAATCAGAGAAAGAAGATTGAAGACAATTGCTTATAAAGCTGGAAGCCTCTTCAAGGAGAGGAAGCTGACACCTTGCATCCCTGCTGCATGTCCATGGAGCCAAAGGTCTTGGAGAGGGGGGAAGAAGCACAGAGCAGAGTGACAGGGAGATGACACAGCCAGGGGACGGGGGCAAGACCCACCCTTGGAGTTCCGCATTCCCCAGATGTATGGAAGGCTGATCTCATCAGCTCCTCAGTTCCTAGGGCTGAGATAGCAGAAGATGACCTTGGAGCCTGCGGTCCCTGGCATGGAGCAAAGGGGCCTCTGCATCAGAGGAGTGCAGTGTGAGGGCTTCCAGGCAGAACTCACAGGAAGACCCAGTGACTCCTACCAATCGAGCAATGCCGGCAGAACTTCTGGGGTTCTGGCCCTGCTGGGGTCTCCAAGCTGCTGTCTCACATCTGCACAGTGCACTGCAGCAGCAGGAAAGGGTAGCAGAAAGGAGAGAATGGCCCAGAGGTGCCAGTCACCCAAGAATGTGTTCTTCCTTCTGTCCCCTCCCCAGTTCCCCTGCATCAGAGAGCCAGGCCTGGAGAAAAGGAAGAGGGTGTTTAAAAGGACAGAGCAGGTGCTTCTCAATTACACACACACACGCACGCGCACGCGCGCGTGCACACACACACACACACAGCGTAGCCTTGCCACACCAAGCCTCTGGGGGAAAGAGACCTGTGGCTTGAATACATTCAAGATTGAAATTTTCACCGCACTGAGATGACCATTAACCAAAAGAGACATCAGATTCAATTGCCACTGTGGCTTCCCTGATCTAGTGGGGAAGGACTTCATGAGAACAGCTGGTAGAAACTATTGGGGGAAAAATGAAATCCTTTCCATGCTTAAAGCCCTAAGGAGGTAGAATTCCTCCCCTGGCATAGTCATGAATGTGCTCAGGCACTGCTGCTCCACGCTGTCCTGGAAGGCCTCCCAAAGTTCTGCCTGGAAGCCCCTCTGACCAGCCGCCCTGGGCTCCATCACCCTCTCCTCCTCTCTGTTTTAACTCTAACTTATTTTCCCCAGAGCTTAATCAAAATATTATTCGAAACACAGCGCTGTTTCTGTCATGTAGCTATACAGCATACAAATTCAGCTGACAGCCTCTGTGACCTGGAAGTCACCTATGGTCTTATCTCTGTGGTTGGTTAGATTGCATAGAAACAAAATCACTAGCTGGGATCAAATTGGAATTTGACCTCTAACCTTTTTACATTTTTTAAGCTGTAGCATTTTTGTCTGGTGGCAAAAGCAATACATGTCAGAAACCCAAGCCCTTTGGAAAGAAACTATTAAAAGAAGGGAACCCCCATCAGTCATTCTTGGCTCCTTATAGGATTCTCTCAGAAATCTTGGAGGAGAAGCTGTGGGAAGACAAAGCTTGCATGTGTGTTTGTTGTGGGTGAGTAGACGAACGGCTCCATGGGCTTTCCTCATGGCTAGGACTTTGGAAGGGTCTATGTGTGAGGCAGGACTCTTGAAAAACGATGTTCAGGTCAAACTAGGGTCAGGACTAGTTGCTGACTGAACTAAAGACAAGCTGTGATGTCAAGTGTACTCTGAGATCCTGGGTGGTAAAATGGAGGGGGCGTGAGAGAGAATTCAATGAAATTCTAAATGTAATGCAATTCCGGGCCGGTTGCAGTGGCTCACTGTAATCCCAGCACTTTCAGAGGCCAATGTGGGTGGATCACTTGAGGTCAGGAGTTCAAGACCAGCCTGGCCAACATAGTGAAACACTGTCTCTACTAAAAATACAAAAATTGGCAGGGCCCCAGCTACTTGGGAGGCTGAGGCAAGAGAATTGCTTGAACCTGGGAGACGGAAGTTGCAATGAGCCAAGATCGTGCCGTTGCACTCCAGCCTGGGTGACAGAGTGAGACTCTGTCTCAAAAACTAAAAATAAAAATAAATAAATAAATAAATTTAATGCAATTCCAAACTTAGAATGCATTCAACACACCCTTTAGAACTACATCTAATTCTTTCTCTCTGAAGGGTGTGTTAGCTTTTTAAGGAAGGAAAAGATAGAAAATCTATGTGGGAAAGGCTGCTATGGATTCACCAAACTCCATTTTCTTTTCCTCCTTTGGATACAGCTGGACTACATTTCCCAGTCTCCCTTGCAGTTAGGTGAGCCCATGTGACTCCAATCTGGCCAATGAATGTGCAGAAATCTTGGGATGCTTTACTAGGGTTGGACTATAAAATTCCCCCTGGGTCCTCCTTCCTGGTCCCCTTGTCTTCTGCTCAACACAGATGATCCGAGAGAATACCCCAGGGCCCTTGGGATGGAAGAGCCCCAGATGGAAACAGACTATGCCTGAGTGTGGAGTACAATCCCCTACTGTTGCCCCATGGACTGTCACTAAATTGTGACATCAGGAAAAATAAAAATTTATTGCATGAACTCCCTAAGATTTGGGGTTATTGTTACTGCAGTGAGCCTACTGTGATTTATACCTTTTTTTTTTTTTGAGATGGAGCCTCACTCTGTCGTTCAGGCTGGAGTGCAGTAGCGCAATCTTGGCTCACTGTAACCTCCAGCTCCCAGGTTTAAGTGATTCTCCTGCCTCAGCCTCCCGAGTAGCTGACATGACTGGTGTCCACCACCACACCCAGCTAATTTTTGTATTTTTAGTAGAGATGGGGTTTCGCCATGTTGGCCAGGCTGGTCTCAAACTCCTGACCTCACATGATCCACCTGCCTTGGCCTCCCAAAGTGCTGGGATTACAGGTGTGAGCCACCGTGCCCAGTCTGATTTATACATTTTATGTCATATTTTAGAAGTGTGAAGATGCCAGAGAGATTTACTAACATAGTCCCCATATTTTAAAAAGAAGAAAATGCTAAGTGAAATGGAAGGTGGCCTTTAGAAATTATTTTTACAAGAAACATATAATAACATGAAACAGGCTATTTTAAATTGTTAAATAAATTTAAGAAATGATTATAAATACTTAAGAAGAAAAAGAAGACTCCATGAAGAGAAAAAAAGAAAAAAACTAGAAGGAAATATGTGAAAAAAATTAATATGTTTGGGTTTGTGGGGTGCTATAAGTGATTTTTTTTCTTCTTTTTCCTTTTTTGCTCTATCTTCCTGAATCAAACACATTTTTACTTTTAGAATGAAAAATAGAACAAATAAGGTTGCCATTGAACAAGCTCCCCTCATTCACATTTTCTGGGGCCCCAGATGCTGGAAGAGAGGCCGTGAGGCCAAGTGTCTTCAAGGACTCCTCCTCATTCTTCCAGCTGTTTGTCTACAATCAGTCCCCAGCAGCCCAGACTTGCCTCCTCCTGTGCCCTCCCCATCGGAGTCAGGCATGAAGCATGGGGGCTTGGGGCAGGGCCCCACTTGGGACTCACTGGGTGACGCAGTTCTCCTTCTTGCCATAGGCATGAATGATGCCCAGGCCCTGCATGGAAGAGGTGATGTGGGAGAACCAGGGTGACCGGCTGACATTCTCCACCTTCTTGAGCTCCTGGACTCCTCTGTGGAAAATACTGGAAGAAAATTGAAAGGGGCCAAGTGGGCCACAAAGTGAGGTCTCATCAGGCTTGCCCTCACACATACAGAGCCAACTAGGCACTCAGCACAGCGCTTAAGTCAGAGACGGTGCCGTCTAACTGGGGATGAAGAGCGGGCCTGCCATTCTGCAGCGATGCCTGCCCCAGGTGTGGGAATGGCGGGGGCGTGAGAACCATGAGTCAGCCGCACTCGTTTGGCCACGGTGCTAAGTGTTTCTCATATCAGGAAAGTCTTGCTCCACAAGGCGTGATTCTAGTCTTCAAAAACCAAAATTTCTCATACAGCGCAGCCCCTAAGTATCAGCCAACCACTTTTTAGTGCCCAGCCAGAGAAAAAGTGATCTGTTCTAACTCTGGAAGAAAACCCAGTGTGTCAACTGCCAACATGTGGCCTTCTAAAGGCATTTTCAAAGGTAATTTTGAATGAGCATCATTATAGCTGACTTTAAAACTAAATCCCCACGGGATGCAGCTCCCCTTTGTGTGGAAGCTCCAGGAGCCCTGGTGAGCAGGAGACCAGGGACCTTGGGTGTGTACAGTAGCTGGCTGGCCCCCAAGAGAGAAGACAATCAAACCTCCAGACTCTCAGCTAAAACAAACCCAGGGCAGCGAGGAGGGAAGCCTCATTAGTGCAGAGCTAAAGTGAGTTGGTTGGAAACACTTGGATAATTCAAGCAGGATGAGCTCTGGTCTGTCCAGTCTTTATAGCTAGAAGGGTGACTACAGAGCAGAGAAAGAGCTTTTACTAAGTAAATCAACTGCATAAACAGGAGGACAGACAGGAGCAATGATCAAACACAGGAATGACAAAAAGGAACATGAGCCCAAAGAATCCACTGTAAGAATGACATTCAGGAGTTGCTTTTATCCTGTAAATGACTCTCAGAAATTATTTGTATTTGGTCATCACAATAAACCCTTGAGTTTGGAGACTCGGACCATTTCATTTGGAGGCAGAATGGGGTCTGGAGGCAGGGAATCTAAGGCCAATTCACACTGACTTCCTAGAACTAAATCGAAAGGAAAACCCCAACTTTCCCCGCCTACATAACAAAAGTCTCAAAGGCTACTCCCCTTGCACACCTGCCCCTGCCTTTTTCTGGGTGACAGATGTACCTTTGATGAGTCCCCTCCCACACAACCAATCAGGCTGGTGGCAGACCAAGTCTTCATTTGTATAGGAGTAACTTTGTAACTTCACTTCAGCCTCTGATTGGTCGCTTTCTGCAACCAATCATACTGATCATGGGCCACTACTTCATTTGCATGGGGCGTACACCAAGTGGCCAATGGGAAACCTCTAGAGGGTATTTAAACCCCAGAAAATGCTGTAACTGACCTTTGAGCCCGTATGCTCGGCTTGCTCCCACCCTGTGGGAGTGTACTTTCATTTTTGTTTTTGTTGCTTCCTTCTTTCCTTGCTTTATGCATTTTGTCCAATTCTTTGCTCAGGACGTCAAGAACCTGGACACCCTCCACTGGTGACAATTTCGCTTCCTCAGGATCACCGCGGGAACAGTGAAAGACAGCAGCAAGAGTCCAGCTCTCCCAGCTCCCTAGGGCACGGTGTCAGCTCCCAGAGCCACACCTGCCCCTGCACAGAGTCCAGCTCTCCTGCGCCAGCACATTCCCACACCCGCATTTGCCACTGTCCATGGACACCATCAGCAGACTTGTTGAACAGAACTGAAGCATCCGAAACTAAATTCGTATTCTTATTACCCAAACCGCTTCTCCTCCCGCATCACCCGTATCTCTCTTCACGTTGCTCTTCACCTTGAAATCATTCATTGCTTCTCCCATCCCCCGACACCCAAAATTCCACCAGAGGTGGGAAGTGAAACCCTGATGACACTACCATGGAAATGACTCTCAAATCCACACCTCTCTTCTGTTCCCACTGCTGCTGCCTACCTCTGGTCCTCATTAATTCTCTCACACAGACTGTAGATTTCAAGGGACTCCCACCCTATAGTCTGCCCTGACCTTTCTGTAGCTCCATTCACCCTCCACATTGTGACCACAGCAATTATTTCTAAAACCAGCATCTGAGTGTGAAAACCAACAACCCTGTGCACAGGTGAAAGCAAGTCCAGGGTTTGTGGGCTGAATATTTTATAATTTGGGGAATTCTCTTTCAGATCTGCAATAACTATCCCACTGGCTGGGCACATCTAGGATCATGATAAATGATTATTTTTAGTTATTGATTTTTATGGAAACTCTTGCCTAACAGCTTATTCCTTTTTTAACCAACAAGCCATTGGTTGTGTAGTTTCCCTGATCCTCGCAAGCCCTCTGAAACAGGTGAGGCATATATTTCAATGATTACCTTTAGGGAGAGAGGAAACAGGTGTGCAGCATCTCTCTGACTTCTCCAAGGTCCTTCAGCTGGTTGTGGCAGGGCTGGGGCTCTAATGCGAATTTCTCTGATTTGCAACCCTTTGCCCTCACCCAATACCCACCATGCTACCTGCTGGGAACCCCAGCTCACCCCAGGAAGAGCGGGGAGCAGGGCGGGTGTCCTAGGAGGCCGGGATCATGGCTGTCCTCCTGCTTTCCCCCAGGGTGGGTGTGCACAGCTGCAGTGGGAACCCCTGCCCCCACAACGTGCAAAGTTGCCTAAGGCCTTTCTCTAAACACACCCATGGTTAGGGTGGGGGTTATTTCTCAAAGCTCAGAGCAGCAACGGTAGAGCCACATGGTTAGGAACATATCAGCAGAGAGGTGGCAATCATGGTTACTAGTTTCTTGGCCTGGGACCAATGCCTTAATCTTTCAATAACTTCCACCTCTCAGGGTTGCTCTGAGGCTAAAATGCCAGATGTATGCAAAGCACTTAGCACCTGGCATTTACTAAGTACAAAAAATCAATGGTAGACCATCAGTGAAGACAGCAAGCACTCAATGCTCAATATCATGTGACACCCAGTCAGTGTGTGTGTGTTGTTTTCTTGTGTAAATAGCACATGGGCCTACCGTAAGAGAATGAAGAAGCCTACAGCAAGGCCGGCCACGACTAAAAGGACAGCAGGAAACACAGCAGCCAAGATCACGAGAATAAATACCACCATAAAGAACTGCTGCAGAAAGTTCTCTGCGTGAAACGGCAGCCTCACATCCAGCTCATCCATATCCTTGGAAAAACGGTTCATTAGCCTGCCAGTGGGAGTCGTGTCAAAGAAGCTCATTGGGCTCTTTAAGATCTGTGGAGAACAGTAGAGAGTCAGAGTCGAGGTGGGTGCTCAGTAAACCCTGCCGCTCTGCTGGGGGTGAAATTGTGAGCACAGGGCCTGACCTTTTTTCCAGGGCACAGCACAGTGTGTCAGGTGATCTTGGGAAAGGGAGGATGCACCCCCTTCTTGCAGCCACCGTGAATGAATGTGAATGTGGGGATTCAGTCTCTGTGCGGAGACCCCGAGAGACCCCCTATAGGTCAGGCTTCCCCTCCAAATCTGGGATGCAGCCTGAGACAGGAGAGTCTGATGCCTTTGTCAGAGGAAGGAATTTTGTGCCCCATGGCAATAAAAAGCCAAGTTGCACTTTGTCTCTTTACCTCCGAAGTGTGGGCCCCACCCATATGCTCCAGCCAGGGCCCTCCTAGCCCCTGGCTGCTGCCCACCATGGCAGTGGAATGCGGAGGGGGCTGGAAGGATCTCTTGAGGCCCGTGTCACACTCAGGGCTCTTTGGAGCAGGAGCTGCTTTCTTGGCCTGCACTTCTCTGCCGTGGAGTGGCCTCCCCTTCCTCCACCCCCCGGCCCAGCCTCAGGGCTGATGAACCACCCCCACAGCTCCCTGGAATCTACCTTTAGTTGGTAATCAGCTATTTGGGAGACTCTTCCCAGACTAGACTGCAAGCTCTATGAGGGCTCTGGCTGTCCCCAGAGCCCAGCACCATGCCTGGCACACAGCAGGTGCTCCATATACCTTGTTGACTGAATAACTGAGTACACCTGCAATGCTTGTGGCCATACCTTATTAAACACCATGTCATGCAGACAGGAGGATGCCATCAGTGTGGTCTTGGTGAAGACGAAGCCTTTGGTGACACCAAACACCAGCACGGACACCATGCTCGCAGCGTACACCCACTGGTACACATGCTGACCGATGTCTGCCAGCACCGTGCCGACCTCACACGTGGTCCTGTTGCCCTGGGGCCCACAGGTCATCTTCGGAGAAAAACAAGAGAAGCACCAAGAATTGATAAATTCCTGCCAGGAGAACAGGAATTTTCTGGATAATCTTTCCAGAGAGAAGAAACTAAGAACAAGGACATGAGTGTTTTGAATGAATCAGGTGGGTACAATCTAATCTGTTCCCTTCTGGGGCCTCTGAGCTTTGCGGGGTTCCTCCTGCTGGCACTCATGACCCCAAGGGGCACCTGACTGTGAGCTCAGCACAGTCAGTGGGAAAAACGAAGCAGAGAAACGAGGTGGGCACCAGGCAGCCATCCCCGAAGCTCACAGCACCTCGGGACACCAGAAGTAATGCTGGGCTGGGAAGATCAGAGAGACAAATGGGGAATCAGAATTCTACAAGGCTGGAGGAGTAACCCTCAGGCAGAGGATCAGGAACTGACCTCCAGCATGCTGAGCTGTGTGGCAGCAGCCACCAGGCCTTCGGGGTGACTCAGGGGCTTCTCTGTATGACGGGCCAGCTCCACAGTCCCTTCCCTTTCTTTTTCCCAAGGGGTAACTGAGAGGGTGCTAGGGTACTGCCCTGGGATCTTTGGTGGGGAGGAGGGTGCCCAGTGAATACAAGTGGCTCTCAGAGGATTCAAAGAATCTGTGGCTCTGTCCTGCCCAGCGAAAACACACAATTTTGCCAGCACTTATGGGGAGACGGCATCTCCTCGCCCTGAGAAATTGGCAGTTTCATTTTTCTCTGGGCTGTGTGCTAAAAGTCAAGACTGCCCTTGGGGAGCAAACAAGTATCTTTCTTCTAAATGCCATTTTGCTGATTACAGTCACAGTGGAAATGTAAACCAGAGGTGGCTAATGGATGAACATCGTTGAAAGCAAAAGTATCTCTGGGGAGTTGAGGGATAGACGGCCCAGCCTGAAGAGGAGACACTCCTGTGCCTTTGATTGTGCCAAGGCACAAGGGCCAAACACATGGTTCAACCACCATGGCTGCATGTCTGGGAGGGTAGGGGCAGGGGCAAACACACAGTGTCCGGGGCACCAGGGGCAAACACATGGTTCAGCCACCATGGCTGCATGCTTAATCAGCCAACAGCAGTGGGACTCCTGGGGAAGCACCAAGCCTGTGAGAAGGCTACACCCTGATCCTAAACCTCGGGCCCTCCAAGGACACAGCTCTTCGTGAGTGAGGGGGCATCTGGAAGAATCTGTCTATTCCGGAGATGGCTCTCTATTTCTGCACAGAGCAGGCCACCCATCAGCCTCTCCCCTTGGGACTAGCTTTGGAAAGCTGTGCCCGGCAGCCTCTCCCCTGCCCCTGTCTCCCCAGTGCCACCTCCCTTTGGTTGTCATAGCAACAGAGCTGTACCAAATGTAATCTTGGAGGATGGGCCAGTGACCCCTCAGCACTCCCCAGGGCTCCAGGAAAGCTTTGAGACCATTGGCCAAAAGCTGGGAGAGCTCCCAGCAAGCTCGAGAGAGAGTCAACACATCAGTTCTTCCCAGGAAGGGCCCTGCAGAGAAGGGTCCCCCGTGGCTCCATGGCATTTGCAGAGCCTGAATCTGATGCTTGCCCATCCTGTTCATGCAGAGACGACTTTGGGGAGCAGAGACATGTGGGACCTTCTGGCACTGGGCAGTGTCCGTAACAAGATGCCAATTTCTCTTTAGGAAGACACAAATCCGTGTTAGGCTTTCCTGGGGGAATCTTACAAGAGAGACTGTGAAACTGACCCAATCTTGTACATGCCTGATTCCAGACAAGCTGGGGCACACGTCTTCTTTAGTCAACCCTTTAAAATCTGAAAGTGGTGTCTATACCCTGCTTGTCTTGAAAAACCAAAGGGGATTCCAGGGGCTTGGGTCCTGTGGTGTAAGCATCTGACCTCCACTTCTTGAAAAGGGCAGGGGGGATGCATGTGGGCTCATGGCATGGTGGCAGGGACAGTCAGATGCTCTGGCAGCAGTGTTTTACTCCAAGACACAGACTCGGTATCTTCCAATGCCAAAGGGAAACTCACCCGTGAGCCCTTGTCCAACCAGAGACCCAGCCACCAGTTGCTGAAGGCAGAGCTGCCAATCATCAGGAGGAAGAGGAACACAGTGAAGAGAGAAAGGAGGTACCCTGCAAGAGGAGGGGAGAGGCCCAAGGGGCTGGAGACGTGAGCATGTGGCAGGGGCTGACCTTCCTCAGGTCCCAACCCTGATGGGAAATTCAAAACCTGCAGGAAAAGGATCCACACACCTGGAAACCACCTGCTAGACTGATGTGGCATATCTGAGTGTTGGGGCCCTGAGCCATGGGGACATCTGTTCTACCTGGTTGGAAAATTCGTCCAAACAGTGAACATATTGGAAAAACCACCAATGTGCACTTCAATAACAGTGACTCAGTATTCTTTAAAAACAAGCCAAGGAAGGCCGGGCATGGTGGCTCACGTCTGTATCCCAGCACTTTGGGAAGCTGAGGCAGGTGGATCACCTGAGGTCAGGAGTTCGAGACTAGCCTGGCCAACATGGTGAAACCTTGTCTCTACTAAAAATACAAAAATTAGCCAGGCATTGTGGCGGGCACCTGTAATCCCAGCTACTTGGGAGGCTGAGGCAGGAGAATTGCTTGAACCTGGGAGGCGGAGGTTGGAGGTTGCAGTCAGCCAAGATTGCACCATTGCACTCCAGCCTGGATGACAGAGCGAGACTCCACTTCAAAAAAAAAAAAAAAAAAAAAGGAAAGAAAGAACAAGAAACCAAGGAAAACCTTGTATGGAAGGCTGGCAATGGACCGGCCACTGCTGTACAGAGCGACTGGAGTGCAAGGGTACGGGTCATGCTGCTGCTCACTCCACTCCAACAAAAGAGAGTCTGGCAGCTTTAGTGGAGATGAAGAATGATTCCATTTAAAAGGCTGTATTATCACATGTTAGTTTTTAGGAGGGGAAAAAATAAAAGCATTGATAAATGGCCCTCCCATAAAGAGAGTAATTGTTAAAGAAATCATAAAATGTGAACCCAACAGTTTAAGACAGGATTTTTTTTAAATGCAAATTAAATCAAGAAACTCGTTGTTTTATACTGAACCTCCAGAAGCCTTAATGTACGTGTGATATGTTTTCCAGGTCACGGTTCCTTCCTGGGGGGACTCAGTCTGGATGAGCTGGTGCTCAGGAACTGTGGAGACAAACACAAGTGCCACGTCTCTCACCACTGGGGCGGGGGCCCAGCGAGCCAGGCACAGCCCCTCCGTGGACTCCACAGCACGGCTAAGGGGGCTGTGACACATCCTTCCACTCGTCCCATGCTCTCAAATTTCCAACACACTTTTGCTCATTTTGTGCTACCTGGTCCTCAGTACAGCCCTGTGAAGTAAGCTTCTAGTCTCTTGAGAAATATTTATTAAGCACCTACTATATGCTCAGTCCGGGGGATGCAAGGGTTGTCTTGGTCTATTTCTCCTAGAAGCAGCACCCAAGAAGAGACTATGAACACGAGGTTTATTTGGGAGCTAAAGGGAATAAGGCATGTCACCAAGCTGGCAACCACTATGGGCCACTGGGGCTTCATCCCATGTGAAGAAATCTCAGAACCAGTGTAGACATACACTCAGGGCTTTTCCACGTGATGAGAGGGATCTGGCATTTTTCTATACCGATTCCTATTGGCCATAGGGTGAAGGCCACTCCCTGGGTGGGGGTGTTAATTCCTGCACTTCCAGCTTGACATGTAGCTGGCAACTCCTAGAAAGAGCCCCCAGGCAAAGGAATGCAGAGGTGGCATTTGGGAGGGGGCTAGGGGTGCTGAAGTGGTAAGGGCACCCTTGTCATCTGCTACAGAGTAAGCAAGAAAGAGGCAGGTCCTGTATTCTCAGAGCTCACGCCATGCAGAAGAAAACCAGCGTATACTCCTAGGTTGGCTGCTGCACGGACACCTGATTCCCTCAATGTCTGTCCCACGTTCTTCCATTCCCCAAGGGGAAGGGAAAATGACTGTCAAGTTCTCATGGAAACAAGATTTTGGAGGAAAAGGGATGCTGGACAAAGCAGCTCCCAGCAGCCAGTACTGAATGCATGTCTCTTCTGCTCCTCCACAGAGAAGCGTGAAAACGTCAACTCCAAAGCAGAATTATACACCATACTTGGCTTTTATAAACAGAGATAAATAGAGTTAGAAGAGGGGGCACCCCACGTACAGATTCTGTGCACCCTGGCCCAACAGGAAAAGCTTTCACACCTCAAAGGCACCTTGCTGAATAAAGCCACCATTACACTCACTGCCTGGGAACCTGGAGCGCCTTTGAAAATGTTCAGCCTGACTTTAGCCTATTGTGTCTCCCTCGAAACTGCAAAATGAGGGAGACGCCTCAGCATGTGGGCAGAGTCTAATGAACGGCATCCGGAAGCACAAAAGGGACTGGTCACATCACCTCGCAGCCTGCAGGCCAGGGCAGGAGTGCCACTGATGCTCTGTTTGCCTCAGCTGTGCCTTAGAAGATGCCGTGATGCCAGGTAGGTGGGCAGTGTTGTCTTTAACGAGTTCACGAGTCTTCCCTTCCTCCACCTTTCACAGCCCTTGACAACCCAGTTGTTTATCCTTGAGAACTGCGTCTCTCTCCAGCATGAAATTTCACGATTACACTTTCCTTTCCAGAGAGGGGTGAGTGATGAGGAAGTGAGGAACAGAGATTACTCTCTCCACGGGACCCCAAATCCCGGGCAGCCTGGAGGTTTCTCCAAAAATCACAGAAGAGATATCTGGGTACTTCAGCCCTGGAAGCCTCTGGAACTGCAAAACTATGTTGCCTTTCCAAACGTGCATGCATTTGTCACAAGCACCATTGAGGATGCCAGATCTCATCGATTCCAAGGCTCACTTCTTTCCCCCACATTGTAACATCTCTGGAATCTGGATGTGCCTTCCATTTGCTAGTATGTCATATCATTTAATTAGCAGAGTTTTTTTTTTCTTTCCAAGTGGTAGGTAAAATGGTGGTAGCCTTAAAAAATGGATAGCATCTTAAATTTCATGAAATGTGCTAAGTTTTTTTGTTTGTTTGTTTTTTCGGCTATGCATTATTGAGAAACAGAACTCTAACTTGGAAAGCCACCTTGCTGTGTATACTTTGAGGACTACTGACCCCAGCCCTCTCTGTGTCCAGCATGGGGCAAGGGACAGAGTAGGTGCTCTAGGGATGTGGAGTGAATGAAGGCAGGGTGTCTACGGAGGTGAAGAGGTGGCCTGACCAGCTGGCCCCCATCAGGCTCATCTTGCACATCTTGTCTCCCCACCTCCTGGAATCACCTCCTGCCCTCAACCTTAAGCCCTCTACCCTCTCCCACCTTCTCACTGCAGTTTCCCCAGCAACCTCCTATACAACCTTGAAGGACCAGTCCAAAGGCCACGCCCTCTGTGAAGCCCTCCCTGACGTGTTGGTTTCTCTCACCCAAATTCCCCATTACTCTTACTGGTTTCCCGTAGATACCCATCTGCCTGTGTCCCCGCCAGACCACAAGATCCTGAGAACACGGGCATCTCTTCTTGCTCTCCCCAGCCCAGCTTAGTACTGGGCACACAGTCAATGCTTAACCTTTATTTGTTGAAAAAATGAATAACCTTATCCCACCTCAATCTCTTCATCGCTTCATAATCCATTCTCAATGCTCCCCATAAAGAGTGGGAAACAGCTCTTGTGTCTGCCTTTGCCTCTGATGAATCCCCGTGCATTACTTTGATCTCTCCAGCTCATAATAACTATTAAGCATCACTGTGTGTCAGGCACTATGCGAATCACTTATGTTCATTTTCTCATTTAATCTTTACCAGAAATTGTGGTTGGTACTACTTCCTCATTTTATGGATTAGGAAGCTAAGGTTCAGAGTGGCCAAGTATCTTGCTCAAGGTCACAAAACTAGTAAGTGGTGGAACCAAAATTTGGACTTAGGCAGTGGAACCCCAAGGCACACAGTACCCTAGACCATCCAATTCTGGCTGCGCAAAATGACATGCACAGTGTCTACACTGTGTGTATCCCAAACGGTAGATGCCCAATACATCCTTAAGTGTATGTGACCAAGGGGATGAGTGGTAAATACCTTTTGTGTCTACAAATTCTGAGCCTGTTTCAGATTCTTTTCCTTCATCTTTCTCATTTCCTGGAGCCAAAACTAGGGTGAGAAATAAAGAGAGATCTGTGTCCATTCAAGCCAAGGACAATAAGAGGGATGGGATTCTAACCGATTATACCAGCATCTTCCTGTCTCTCAGCGGGGCTCTCCTTGAAGGCTTCCACCATTGCTGCATTGTAAAGGTGTTCAGGATCCTGGAAACAAAATGGAATTCCTTCTGAAAGCTAAGTGACAGGACGTCTCCCAGGCAGGAAATCCCGAGGGATTCCTCCCCAGTTGCTCCCACACCTGCCCAGGTGTGAGTTACCTTGAACTGCAATCCTCGCAGGTTGTGAATCAGTTTTGCATAGTGCCCTCTCTCCTCCATTAGCTCCTTGTGGGTTCCCTTTTCACAAATCTCTCCATCTTCTAATAAAATAACTTCATCACAAGACTCTAAGAACTGCAGAGGTAAGTGATCGACAATGAACTTCTGCCTGGAAAGGAGAGCCCATGCCAAACTCCTCTCCAACCTTAGTTAGCATGGTTGACTTTAGGGGCCAGATCATTCTTTGTTTGAGGGGGCTGTCCTGTGTGTTGTAGGATATTTACCAACCTCCCTGGCCTCTACCCACTAGATGTCGGTAGCACCCCATCCCAGAGGTGTGACCAGCAATGATGTCTCTGGACATTGCCAAGTGCCTCCTGGGGGCAGGTTGGCCCCTAGCAGAGAACCATTCATCTAGTACCCACAGGTCTCATGAGTCAAAAAAAGCCAGCCTTTGGCTGTCACAGTGAAGCACACAGAATCTTCCTTTGCTACTGCTCCTTAAATGAGCTGCCTTCCTAAGAAATCTGATCATGGCTGGGTGCAGTGGCTCACGCCTGTAATCCTGGCACTTTGGGAGGCTGAGGCCAATGGATCACCTGAGGTCAGGAGTTCGAGACCCACTTGGCCAACATGGTGAAACCTAATCTCTACTAAAAATACAAAAATTAGCCAGGTGTGGTGGTGTGCACCTATAATCCAGCTACTCAGGAGGTTGAGGCAGGAGAATAACTTGAACCTGGCAGGCGGAGGTTGCAGTGAGCCAAGAAGGTGCCACTGCACTCCAGCCTGGGTGACAGAGCAAGACTCCGTCTCAAAAATAAATAAATAAATAAATAAATAAAAATCTGATCATGAAGATTTGGGGAAAGTAAAACTGACAGTCACTGCAGCCAGGACTTGGTAGCGAGGGGAAATATGATCTTCACGAAGGCCCTTCTCTGTTCTAACATTATAAGCCTCCCTCGTCATCCCCACTTAGCCCAGGAGAAGCAGACCATGGTGTGGTCCCCAGGCAACAGGCCACATTCCCTGGCCTGAGGAATTTATACCAGCTTTATCTATGAGATAAAAACACAGCTACATTTAATGCTGGCATCCCACATTTTGCCCAAAGCACTTCTGTTTTTTTAATTTGAATTCCCTTCACTTCCATATCATTCGTGAGATCAAAGAGTTCTGCTAAGAGGGTTTTCCTTTCATTTTGGAATAAGACACAGAGCTCTCCCCACCAGGATCAAGCAAGTCTGCTCCTAGAGGCAGGCAAGATGCTGAGACTAAAGATGGTTTGACCGAAAGAAGCCTTTGCAGTATGGGCCAGAGGTCTTCCCTGATACTGCACGGTTCATCCAAGGTCAAATCAACCTCTGCTGCTCTTGATTACAAGCCTGAAAGAAGTAGCTGTGTTCGGTCATTGTATACTTGATTGGGCAAGTTGGGAGGGTGCCCAAAGGCTGAATGATAACAGTTCTAACAGCTTGGACAGTTCCAGCCCTCATGCCTCCCTCCCACTAACTGCCCAGCTCTCTGTCTTATTGGCTGATATTGCAGATGGGGAAACAGAGACACCATAAGCCTGCTCCAGTCCCATGGCCTTTTCTGCCTGTGCCACAGCACACACTCCAGCTCCAGGAGCTCCCAGGGAAGCCCCCTCTGGCCAGCAAGCCCCCAATTCACTCCAGAGATATGAGGCCAATTTGAGCAGCTTTGTTATGCAAACTGTCACTGAATCTGCCCCTGAGTTGGATTTCAGTGGCTGCTCCCAGCCTCTTTTCACTGGTTTCCTTAGAAAAGCGATCACCCATCCCAACCACTCAGATGCTTGCCTGTGGGCCTGAGAGTAAGAGAAGAGGGGATAGGCTCTAGAAAAGCCCCCGGCCCCAGTTCGGGGGCTCTGAGTTCCATCCTCCCTGACAAGGGACAGCGGGACTAAGATCTTGTGCCACCTGGTGGCTACCTGCCTCTTCCAACTTGCAAAAAGTGAGATAAAATGACAGGGGAAGGTGGAATCTGAGCAGATGGGCCTGGTGTGAAGATGGCTCCTGCCTGAGGTCATACTACGGCTCAGTCAGTTTCAAAGACTGAACCAGGACCGACGTTGTGATTCCCCTCATGAGGACTCCTGGAGGGACAGCTGTGACCCACACCTGTCAGGGATGACGTATCCCCTCCGGATCCCCAGAGCCCTCAGAGGACAGCTCTCCCTGCTGCAGGGTGTCTCCAGGAAGATTCCAGGTGCAGAGGGGGGGCTGCCAGGTTTAGCACCTGGACTTGGCCAGAGCCCATTCTCAGTCACCTCATGGGGGTCTTGAAGAAATCCAACCTTGTCCTCCATCCGAACTCAGAAGAAGAACTAGGCCAGAAGAAGAACTAGGAGCTCTTGTCCACACCAGTCCAGTGTGATGCTTCCTGGAGGTGCTCAGGCCCACGCAGAGGAAATCCAGACAATCCCCATGTGCAAAATTCGGATGCCTGGAGCTTATTCCGGGGCCAGAACTCTAGCCCCAGGCAAAGATCGGCTCAGGCTAGGGGCAGCATCACAGCAATGGGAAAGCCTGGTTTTATAGGGTCTTCGAGGAACCCCCTCTTTAGGCTGGTCCTCTTGGCCACTACTGGAGGGTTCTAAAATGCTGGCTACAGCATCCTATAGCCATGGCAACCTTATTTGCCCCTCCCTCTCCACCCCAGCTTGACTTACCCTTGCAAAGACCTGCTTCCTGTCTCCAGACCAGGCCCTTATGTAACATGTTCTCTGCAGGTAGCAGGAGAGTAAAGAAGATGGGACTCTTGCTCTCCTGCCCCAATAGGCCTTTCAACATAAGTCAATCCCGAGGAATCTCTCATCGGGCAAGGAGACACACACGTGCACACATGAACACACACGTGCACACACATGCACTGCCCCCCTTCTCTCGCACATCTCTGGGGATTCCCTTCAAAGAGGAGAGAGGGAGATGGTCTGGAAGCAGGGAAACCTGGCCTGGGAGGAGGAGGTTCTTGGATTCCCACCAGGCATTCAGGACCCCTTATGTGGGACCAATACAGCGAGGACTGTTCCCACCCTGCCAAATTCTCAAATTCACTCAGGTCAAGCCCAGTCACTTTCTTCAGTGAGATTCATGCTCCTTAGCCTGCGACAGTGGCCCTGAGCAGAGAGAGCTTCCCCAAAGCCTCAGCCTTAATCCCAAAGTCCTGCCTTCCAGCCTCTTTCCCCTGAGGTGTGATGCCTGGGGCATCTGGGCCCCTCATCTAAGAGGTCTGCCACCCCTTGACACCCCCAGTCAAGGTGTCCCTGGCCTCAGGCTTGCCCAGAATTGCTGGATTAAGGGTGGGGCCACCATTGCTTTCCCTGGCTCCCAGAACTGGGGGAAGCAATCATCCTTTTACCAGGCACCCAGAACTGGGGGAAGGGTGCCCCAGTCCACCCACAGGCAGGACTCAATTGCCTCTAGAGAATCTACCCTCTGGGGCAGGAAAGGTCTTGACCCCACTGAGGCCATGCACAGAGTGGAACAGGTGGACCTCCTGGGACCCAGGAAGGCTGGGGAATCATGAGTGTCTCTTGCATCCCTGGCTCCCTCCCCACATTCCCCGCTGAAGACAGGCAGATATAGGCAGAATAGGAGGCTCTGTGAGCCTCAGACACCAGCCACATCCATCCCGTGACCTCCTGGATCCTGCATGTCCCATCACCTGTAGCTGGTGGGTCACCAGGACGACTGTCTTCCCCCTGAGCGTCTTCTTAATGCACTCCTCAAAGACGTGCTTCCCCACATGGGCGTCCACGGCCGACAGGGGGTCGTCCAGCAGGTAGAGTTGACGGTCAGAGTAGACGGCGCGGGCCAGGCTAATCCTCTGCCTCTGCCCCCCGGAGAGGTTGAGGCCCCGCTCCCCAATCTGTGGACAGGGACAATGCTACTGCCTATTGTCAGGCCACCCTGAAGTTCTTGGGCAATGGAAGCTTCCTGGAGCTTTTCAGGACTCAGGGAAAAGATGTACACACTGATCCTCACCTCGTCCAAATTCCTCTGCCCCTTACGGGGCGCCCAGTCACACGAGACTGTGGTGAGTGGAAGTGCTCCACTTGTCTACCTCTCCAGGAAGCCTGGTGAAGCCTGGTGGGCAGCGGCGACTAGGACAAAGCTCTTTCCCATGAGGAGTGAGGGGTGCCCGTCTCACAAGACCCCAGCCCAATGCAGATCCCACGGGGAGGAGCTACGTCATTATTACCACCAAAGGGAATTGGGTGAGCAGAGAGCTGGGGAGAATGCAGCAGTGAACCAGAGGGAAACATGGTTGGGTGCAGATGGAAAAGGGAGTTCCCTATTTTATTTACTTGGAGAGCAACTATCCCATCCCTAGGCAACTCTACGCACTGTGGAGAGATAAGCTTTGACTTCCTAGTTCATCATCACTACCCTAAGGCCTGGCACCATGCTGGGCACAGAATAGGTGCTCAGCAAATATTTACGGAAAGGATGATTGCTTACTGTAGGTGATTCTATCCAATGGAACCCAAAGTGAACCCCACGTGTTCAGCCAGGCATTGAGCTAGGCACGGGGTGGGACACACAAGCTGGACAAGAGAAGTCCCCTCTCCCTGGGGAGCTCCACGGTGGGCAGGTTAGTTATGTACATAATAGCAACAGCAAGCAGAATTTCACAAGTGCCTGCTGAGAAGCATCAACAGAGTTCTTTGGAGCAAATTATTCAGGTGGTGGGACTTGGGAAAGCCTTCCTTAAGGAGGTAGATCTGGGGTTGAAACTCAAAGGGTAGTGATGCCACAGGAGCAGAGACTTAGAGGCTAGGAGGTGAGTGGACACTTTGGCAGGCAGGTAGGAGCACGGCCTGGAAGGGTGAACCGGGGCTGCAGTGTGGGAGGTCTCAGATGCAGGCCAGGAAGGCTTCACGGCCATTTCCTTGGGGAGGCAGACTGAGGGCACCAATAGAGAAAGACACCCCAAACTGGCCTTTCCTCAGAAAGCCTTGGCCTTCTGGTCTCCCCTGGGGCTCTTGGGCAAGGTGAGGAAGACTGTGCAGAGGGCATAAGAAGGGTGGGGACCCGAGATGGCAAGGTGACTCCCTGGGTCTCTTGGGGTGGCAGGCTCAGCCCAGGATGGAGCTAGCACTTTGGACAAACACCCCAGGGGGCAATGTTTAGAGGTGACCCCCATACTCCTGGCCTGGGCAGAGCCAGTGAGGCAAGAAGGGGCCCTGGTTTGGAGGACAGAGCCGGCCCTCGGAATGAGGAAGCAGTTTTCACCAGAAACCCTTCCTGAGATGACAGGCAGATTGGGAGTAGCCCCAAGAAGTGACTACACTGTGCCAAACACCAGTAAGCTTGGTGTCACGTACACTGTGACATCCAGCAAGTATAGATCCAGAGGGAGAATTCAGAACGGGTGGAACCTGAGCTTTGCCCACACGTTCTTGGGGCATCTGGATGTGGAACCGGGGCTTGCTGGCCTCAGCCCTTTGGACCTGAGCAAATGTACTGTGTGCAGCAACAGTGGGCTTGCGCTCCCAGCCCTGCTCACCTCAGTCAGGTCTCCATAGGGGAGGTTGCTCAGGTCCTTCTGCAGGCCACAGACGCGGACTGTGTGCTGATACCTGTTGGTGCAAAGCTCAGAAGTAGCTGGGTGAGAAAGACCACAAGCACCGCTGCCCTGGGCTGTTTCCACAGGCACTGCTGGTGTCGCTGGGACAAGGCCAGGGGTGGCGAGTGCTACGTCCAAGGCTCCCTGACCAGTCGCTCTGCCTTCAATGACCCAAGGGTGGCGTCCCATTGACCACTGGCCCCTCCCCTGACCTGATGCAGAGTTGATTCAAGAATGGCTCCTCCCCTGGCAGGGTTCTTGCTAGACGGGGAAGAAGACAACAGTGAACAGGAAAGCACTGCAGGGAACACTGAGGGCGCCACCTGCTGGACGCTTGTGGGAGTCAGAGGAGGGGGTCACCCATGGGGGCTGCAGTCACTGGGGACCGCCTCCTGGGGGGCGCAGGGCTGAAGCAGGACCGTGGGTGGAAGAGAGGGTGTGTGTGAAGGAGGCTAACAGCAGGGGGCTGGGTGGTCACAGATGACGACCTTGACATTTGCCCAGCCCCTTCACAAAGCTACTCCATCCACCCCTCACTGCTACTCGGTTGGAGAAAACAGTTTTCTCCCCTGCGACAACTCAGGACACTGAACCGAAGGGAATGGCACCTGAGGTGAGGGGGTGGAATGGGAGAGAGAGTGGGACTCCTGCTCTTTGGGCCTCTTGGCCTCTCCATTATGCCCCCTCAGCGTCACCCTCTGCCTAGCCCTGCAGCCCAGGCTTTGGGGAGTTTGACAGCTGAGGCCCTAGCCAGCTCTGCAGCAGCCAAGTCGCCAGGACTAGCACCCTGTCCTGCAAAAAGCAGCAAAGCTGTGGGGTTGGCCCCACAGTGGTCCCCAGGGGCATGACCCCGCTCTGCCCCAGGGGAGGCCTTTGGGGACTTTTGGCATCGAGGAACCTAAGACCATCAGTGGTCACTGGGACGTCATCCCCATGTTACAACAGATGCCCACACCCTCCTTCCTCGGTTTTCTCTGCAACTCAACCTCACTCAGACAGCCCCACCATAAGCAGAACCTTCCCCAGGCATCCCAGAGCCCCTGCACAGCCGCCTTGGGGACCCAACTCCTGCTCGGGATGCCTGTAGTGCCTGGCTCAGGTGTGTGCTCCCTCCCAGCAGCTGCTGAGCAGCACCACTGGGCCTTTAGGTTTAGGTTTCTGTCCTGCTCGGCGGGTTGCCTGCCTCCACAACGGCTGATTGGTTGGTGGATGACAGATTGACTGATTGATATCATTGGCCTTATCATCATCAGGACCCTCTTTCCTTCAGTGAGTGACAATGGGCAGGTCTCACAACTCAGACATCGAAAGACAAACCTTCCCAATAAAGAGGCAAGAAAGAGAGCAGAGAGGCATGAGCAGCTGCCCTTCCGGTTGCACACAGGCCCCAAAACAGAACCTGGGCACGGCCCGAGCATCGTGCCCACACACAAACTTTAGGGTTGGCGTACACAGCAGTTATGATGAGGGGCCTTGGAATCAGAGAATGGGTTTGACTCCAGCTGGGCGACCTTGGACAAGTGACTGTACCTCCCCGATCCTCCCTCTCTGCTCTATAAAACTGTGCAAACAACAAACTCTCATTGGGTTGTTGTGAGAATGGAGCAGAAAAACATGTGAAGCCATTAGCACAGTGTCTGCTGCATGGCAAATTCTCCATCAGTGGGGGCCATAATTGCTATTACTACATTTGCCAATCTGCGACTACAAGACTCAGACAGCGCAGCACATCTTCCTCCCCTCAACACCTCCCACCTTCAATTGCCTCCCACCCTCCTGCTTCCTATGGCCCTGAGAGCCACAGTTTCTGCCCTAGGAGCAAAATCTCTGCTAAATATGCCACGTATGAAGGACGCTAGATCCATCTTTCAAAGCCCAATTCAAGTGCCATCTTCTCTTCCCTGATCCACCATCCTCTCGTGATCTCTGCTGCCTTGGAACAATCCGAGCACAGTCTCCCGCCACCTGGCTCATTCCTCCCTGATGCACTGTCATTTCTGTGGATTTCTTATAGCCCCTTCCAGGCTTGAGCATCTTAAGGGCAAAGATACACCTGAGCCATCTCTGTCCCCATGTGCCCTGCATGCTGAAGGCATTTGGCACATATTTGTCCTCTGAACTTCATTTTGATGAATAAGGCAACCCTCTGTCCAGTCCGCTTCCACAGACAGAGAAGGTGTTCCAGGTGGGTGGCACAGGCCAAGAGATGCTGAGCAGAGTAATTTGGCTGCACTGATCACTGACTCCTGCACTGATCACCTTCCTGCCACACCTGAGCCTCCTGGCCACAAGACGGCATGGCCAGGGAAGAGGAGGTGAATTGACAAGCCTCTTGATGAGAATATATATGCTGGCCATGCCAGCCAACAGGGACAGAGTTGGTGGGTAAGATGAAAAAGGCCAAACTACCGCTGCAGAGCTGACAGCCAGATTCCTAAAGCCAACTCTAATTCTCTTAATTCAGCGTTGTGATGCCTGGGAAGGTTTCTGAGTGACCCAGCTGTCAGGCAGCTCCAGCTCCAGACAACTGATGTTGATCTGGAGCTCAAGGTCTAAGTCCAAGACTCAACTCTGACATTTAATAGCATTTAATACCTTGGGAGGGTCAACTCACCTCTCTGGGCCTTTTTCTTTATCTGTAAAATGGGGATATAATGCCATGATCTCCCTAAATGGGTGGTTATGGGACTCAAATGAGAGAATGTACATGGCAATACACCAAGCTAAGCAAAGAACCATAGGAACCCATTACTTTCCAGAGCTTGAAGATGATGGTCCAATCAATGGTGAATTGGATAAAGAAAATGTGGTATACACACACCATGGAATACTATGCGGCCATAAAAAAGAACAAAATCACGTAGCAACATGAGGCAGCTGGACTTCATTATCTTAAGTAAATTCACACAGAAACAGAAAACCAAATATCACATGTTCTCATTTATAAGTGGGAGCTAAACCTCAGGTATGCACAGACATAAAGATGACAACAAGAGGTGGGGGGATTCCAAAAGGAGGGAGGGTGAGAGGGCACAGGGATGAACAGCTTCCTATTGGGTACTATGTCCACTAGAGAGTGAACAGGATCAGTAGAAACCCAAACCTCAGCATCACACAATATACCCCTGTAACAAAGCTGCACCCCCTGAATCTAAAATTAAAATTTAGAAGAAATCGAACATTTCAGAAGTAGGGAGAGAATAACTATAGAAATGTCCAAGGTGATCACGGTATTAATGAGTTATGAAATGTTCTTAGAGAAAATATTTCTCCCCAAATTGCTGTCTGTTCATTACATACTACAGTTATTACAAATACATACTCATAATTTTCCTGTTGAAAACATTTACAATATACTCTTTTAGTACTTTTGAAACATGCAATACGTTAAAATTTATCATTGTCACTATTCTGTGCAATAGATCACTAATGACTATTTCTTCTGTCTAATTGAAACTTTGTACCCTTTGGTCAACATCTATCCTTTCCCCCTCACTCCCCTCTCCCCCAGCATCACATATCAAAACACAAAAGTGTACCCCATAGATAGATGTAATTATGTCCATTTAAAAAATAAAATAATATTAAAAAGTTGATGGCTCAAAGTAAATCGAGTAATTATAAGTTGAGCTTTGTTTTTGTGTAGTTAGATCATTCTGAGGACACTAACAGCGATAATATATCCTGATAGCTCTGATGTCAATTAATAATGTCAGGGCTGACTCATTACATACTTGCTCATGATTTCAAGCAGTTTTGGGTACTCAGCCTAAAGCAAAATTGCTGGATTCATTTTTCTCTAGTCAGACCACATATGCCCTGTTGCAGAGAACCTCGGAACATATGTTCCTCTGCCCTGGGAATGAAGAACCGATTCTATCCTCTTCCCAGTGTGCAGTCACAGGTCTGCCTCTCCTTAACGCTTGGCTCAGGAAGAGGAAAACCAGTGCCTGTGTGGATCTGATGAATGTTTAATGGGAATTCATTAAACTCAGAATCCACTTAGCAGTCATTACCAACAGCATCAGCATCTGTAGGAGAGTGTGTACCAAACACAAATGTGCCTCCTGCTTTAAAAGTTAATATTACCTTTGGTGATCATACTTTTCTCCAAAGAGTATGTTTTCTCTCACATTTCCATGAAAGATCCACGCCTGCTGTGAAACGTAGGCCAAAGTTCCATTGACCGCCACCACCCCTTTCTGCAGCTGCATCTGGAACAACAAAACCAGAGAAGCTTCAGGAGCCAAGCCTTGAGGACATTTCCTCGAGTGCCCGTTGCACCCTGCCACCCACCTATTCCACAAGTATTGGTTACAAAGGTGCAAAGGCATCGACAGGATGTCTTGTCCATGCACCAGAAAGCCCAACCATGCAGATGGAGAATCTCAGAGTCAGACACCTGCACAGGGCCAGGCAGGGAATGTTTGAAAAGAGTCAGTGGTAAGCTCTGCTGCAAATGGGAGAGCTTGGACTCCAGGGCTGCTCCCAGTGCACATGGCACCTGGCCCCAACTACAACAGGGTGTTCTCTCAACAGACTCTTCACAAGAGGCTCCCCTTCCTCCAGGTGCACTGGCTGGACCCAACCCTGCTCAGCCAGGCCCTGGGAGCAGGGCACCGCCTGCACGGCTGTGGGTGCTAGCCTTCGCACACCCCATCTTCGGGAAGCAGCCTTGACTCAGTTGCATTGTTGGTGCCATGAAAGGATGCAGGCCTGATGGGGCAGGATTTTCTAATTTGTCAAGAGGAGTCAAAGATCCAGTTTTCCATGAAATCTTTGGACTTTTAAAGCATTCGGCAATCCAATTAAAACTATGCATGGGCTCCAGTTTGTGACCCTGAGTACATACGCTCATTTAAGATGACCCCTCATGTGGGCAACCAATACACAACGGTAGACAGTGGGGATGCAATGTTCAAAGCTATCAACAGAAGGGACATGTGGGGCAGGCCACAGTGCTCAGGGCTGATGCTTACGGGGCAGAGGCAGTGCGTCCAGGGGCAGAGGAGGAGAGTCACCAAGGCAGCCAAAGGATGTGATGCCATTTCACCTCAGGAGTTGTGCAATGGACAGAGAATTCAATTTTGAGAAGAGACCATGATAATAACAATAATAATCATAGTATTTTGAATGTGTAGGGTATATTCCGTGCACTGAGTTAAGAGTATGTTCAATGTTTATCACCATGACTGGCCTTGCAAATTATCCTATAGTCAACTATTGCTTACATAATCTCATTCGATCCTCACCACAACTCTCCTTAGCCCCATTTTACAGACAAGGAAACCATGAGGTTTTATGAGGCTCAGAGAGGTTAAGTTACCTGCCCCAGGCTAAGCAGTGAGCATGTGGCAGAAACAGCTGGGGAAGCCAGGCTATCCAGAGTGCCCCCCTGCCTCCCCAGTGACCACAGCAAGGGGCCTGATCCCACCACTGTTGCGTGGGAGATAGATGCAACGTTATCTCAAAATTTCCGAAGGATAAAAATTAAAAGGAGGCAAATTTCACTCCAGTATACATCAAAATTCTCCAAAAAGGGAACTGGCTGTGACATGTTGAGTTTCCCATCACTGGAGCTATCCGAGCAGAAGTTGGGTCATCTCTTATGCAGTAGGATGCTATTAAGAGTATTCACATGATTATGTGGGGAATTGAGCTGAGTCACCTCTATGGCTCCCGCTGACTCATCATGGAGGCACACACTCTAAGAGCGTGGGTGACCTCAGGAACTCATCTGATTCAGCCCCCACCTCCGCCTGCAGGCAGGGAAGGAGTTGTCATTCTTTCTACAGATGAGTCAACTGAGGCCAAAAGAAGTCACTCATATTAAAACTCATAAGACACATCCCACCACCACCCTATTCTGGAATCTCCACTTCTTCAGAAGTACCCTGACCTCTTCCTGAAAGAGGCAATCCCAGCTTCACAAACTTCCCTTTAGCAACAGCAGAGTGGGGACAAAGAGGACTTAGCATTTTTTTTCCCACAAAGCTTATTCATGTGGGATGCGACGTAGAAACCATGGTGACACAGCGGTTTGTAAAAACTACAAATGGCTTGGCCATTTTCCCTGGGGTCACCCAACTAGAAGGAGCAGAGAAGGGACAAGGACCCAAGTCCCCTCCCTCTTCCTACCCCAAGGTTTGCAGAGAAGCTGGGGGCACGAGCTGCTTTAGTTCAGGCATAAAATACATCTATAGTCACTGTGAGCTCCTGACTCTAAAGTCCTTCCACACCAAGCTGCCTTGCTGGCATTTCTAAATCAGGGCAGCCCAAGTCATGGAGAAAACCATGGGTTTAAGGACCCGTCTTTCCTTTGACCAAGATGGAGCTTTAGGCAAAGAGGCAATCACCATTCAGTAGACCTCCTCAATGGCAAACTTAAGAGTTTGTGAAAAACTCAGCCTCATCTGGCCCAGGGGCCTGGAGCTGCTGAGCGCACTAACCTCCCAGAAATGATCGTGAACCACATGCACAGTGTCCAGTGCAACCGAGGCCATCTGCTAGGTCCACTGTTCTCATGGCACCACACCTGACCAGAAGGGAGCCACTTCATTGTCATGTTAATGTTCCATCCTCACAGCACTCATCACACAGCTTACCTGTCCTAGGAGAGCTGCAAGGAGGGAGCTCTTTCCACTTCCCACATTCCCACATATTCCCAAGATCTTCCCCTGCCAGAGAAACAGAGATAGGACACAGTCACTCTCTCTCACTTCTTAGAGGGTCTGGCCCAAAGGTGCTGCTCTCAAACTATGCTGGTCAGGCCAGGCGGAGAACAATGGGTCACTGCTGGCTTGGGGCATGGCAGCTGCAGCCACACCACCCTAGCCCCGCATATACACAGCCTGGGAGGATGCAGGAATGTAAGTCTTAATTAACTGCTTTCCCTTGTGTGGCATAACCAAGCACCCAGAGGGCTTCTAGAAATCATGTAAGATCACTGGTGTGAAACAGCCTTGTGCTGGTCTGGGAGCCACAGGCCTTGAACATGAAGGCTATTCTGTGCTCAGACTCCAGAAAAGCAAATCTAATGGGATGCAAAAGGCTGTACAAGCCAGGGGGACTACGGTACCTTTTGAAGTATGAAGATCTAGGGGCTTTTCAAAAATCTTTTTTTAATGGAATCCTCCACCATAACAACTCAATCTGGAACTACTGAGAAGTTACACTATTCTAACATTCTACAGCTCTAGATTTATTAATTCAACCAACAAATCATTATTAGAGCCTGCTATGTGCCAAGCACTGTTCCAACCACCAGCAAGAACAGCAATGAACACAACAGGCAATGGCCTGTGTCTGCCCTCATGAAACTTACCTTGTAGTCAGGGGGAGCTGGACAGGAAGCAAGACAAATTAAATGTGGGGCAGGCACATATTTGCTTGCCATGGAGAAAAATAAAGCAGGAAAGAGACAGGGAGTGGGCTGGAGGCTCAGGGATACAAGGAAAGCCTTACTGGAAAGGTAGATGTCTTAGCTTGAGTTTTCCCAGAAACAGATCTTGAATCAAGGATTTGAATGAAAGTCACACTGTCATTTGGAAGGTGCAGGAAATTCCAGTAGGGAAGAGGAGAAGTGATACAGGAAAGGGAAGGTGGCCCATCAAGGGCAGCCTATTGGGTCAGCTCCCTAACAGAATATCCTACACAGAAGGCAAACGGAACTCAACCCTGCAGGGAAACTGGAGGAAACTCTGGGGAACTGACTATAGCTTTGTCCCACCCAATGGCAGAGGAGGTGGGGTATTGATGCCCCAGCAGTCATTGTTTGAGGGCTGCTCTCTACTCTGTGAAGGTCTTTATAGAGGTGTGCAGAGCCCTTGGGCACAGATGTGGATAAGGCAGTTGGAAGATGGCCAGGAAACACTTAGAGGTCCAGGGCACATGGGCAGGGACAGCATCTGCCACAGGTGACAGTTGGGTAAGACCTGAAGGAGGTGAGGAAGGGTGCCATAGAGTATCTGGGGAGAATCACTGCAGGCAAACAGCCCACGTGGAGACTGATGTGGAAGCATGCCCACTCTTGTGTTCAAGCAGATATTGCAATACTGCACTTGCAGCATCCGAGAACATTCTCATGTAGGCCTGCTCCCTGCAATCCCCTTAGGGCAAACATGCCCAACATGGGGCCAAATATGGCTTTTTTCCCACCCCAAGCTAGACCAGAAAGGCACATCCCCTGTCTGCCACTCTCAGCACATGAGAGTTGCTGCCTGTCATCAATAACTCCTTAAACAAGGTCTTTGTTGAATCCCAGGCACCTTGGGATAAAATAGTGATCCACACAGATGCCTCCCTGCCCTTGCAGAGCCCACATGGATATAAATCTGGTTGGCTGAGCGCAATTGAGCTCAGATTTCAGTTAAGTCTCACTGAGTGCCACCTACTTTGCCTTCTCGCCACTCTCCCCATGGAGCACCTGACTTCCCCCACCCTGCCTTCCCATTTGCCTCCAAGAGGCCTCCGTGAACTTCCCGTGTTCTAAGGACTTCCTGGCCACGCAATGGCTTTGCTAATGTGCTATTCCATATGCCGATGACTCTGGAATTCCTGCGTCATGAAATGAAGCTGGATCTATTTAGTTTTCCTAAAAGGACTTCGAGGAACTGGGGCATTAAAGAGACCGCAGATGTGATGCAGCCTCACCAGGTATTTGGTTGCCCTCTGAGTCCTGTCCACTTCTTGGGGCCAAGTAAGAAGCCTTCTAGATTCATCCTTGTCTTTAGCAGAAAATCCATGAGGCCTGTATCCTCTGATGATTCTCCCAACAAACATTGCTGGCCACCTTCAAGCCAGGGGCTGGGCTTGGGGATAAGCACATAACTGTGAACAAAAAACCCTGACCCCATGGAGGATCCAGTCTGATGGAATTGAGGAGGAGCTAAACTTGGAAAAACTTGGATGTCCTGAATGTAGAACAGTTGAAGGCAGCACTTAAGCTGGGCATAATTGTTAAAGAAAAAGGCAACAATCATACTTAACATCAGCTGAGACTTACTATGGGCTTAGCATTTTTATGTGGTATCTGAGTTCCCCCTGCCACCTTGTGAAATGGGTACTTCCATGAAATGCATGGTGCAGGTAAAGAAACAGAGGCTCAGGGAGCTTCAGCAAGATGTCCAAAGTCAAGCAGCTAGGAAGTGGCTGCGCCTGGAACTGCGGTTCCCCAGGCTCCAGAGGCAACACTGCATTGCCCCCACTGTATCTTCAATTTATTCCACAAAACACTGACCGCAATCTTGAGGCAGGAATTCCAGAGTCACCGACATATGGAATAGCACATTAGCAAAGCCATTGCGTGGCCAGAAAGCAGCGTCCTTAGAACACGGCAAGTTCACGGAGGCCTCTTAGAGGCAAATGGGAAGGCAGGGTGGGGGAAGTCAGGTGCTCCACGGGGAGAGTGGCGAGAAGGCAAATAGGTGGCACTCAGTGGGACTTCGCTGAAATCTGAGCTCAGTTGCACTCGGCCAACCAAATATCGTTTCCGATGAATCCGTGGCAGACAGCCTTGTTAGCTACAAGAGGTACCATTCTCACACCAGCTATTGAGGTTGACATTGCATAATAAATGAGAACCTCTGGCACAGGGAAAGAGTGAGTCAACAGGATGAGAGATTAAAATACTAGGCACAAGATTAATGTTGAGGCCTCTGCAGCAAAATCAACACTGTCACCCTGGGAGTGTGCTGCTGAGTTCCCAGAGCAAGAAAGAGATGCATGCAGGAGATGCGGGAGGAGGCCAAACATTCCCTAAATCCACAGCGTTGCCTGAAATCTCCATCCCCCAATCTTGAGGGGAGAGAACAACAAACAGACTCTGGCTGGCTTGGCTGGCTTAGCCCTTAGCTGGGTTGCTTGTTATCTCAGTTTGCTTTTCACAAGAGGAGTATTTCCTGGTGGTTAAGAGCCCAGACTCTGAGGCCAGGTGCCCTGGATATGAAACCCTCCCCTGCCACTTGCTAGCTATGTGACCTTGGGCAAGCTATTTAACCCTCTTGTTCCTCAGGCTCCTCAACCATCAAGTGGGGGCAGTTATGATGCCTAGTTATTGGGGTGGTTAAGTGAGTTTATTATGTACCTGGTAAACAGTAGTGTTCAAAATTATCAGTCATTATCATCTATCGTAATATTCCAATGTGAAATTAAGAACATATCTAGGGCAGGAGCAGTGGTTCATGCCTGTAATCCCAGCACTTGACCCAGGAGGCCAAGACAGAGAATCACTTGAGGCCAGGAGTTCGAGCCCGGCCTGGGAAATATAGCAAAACTCCATCTCTATCAAAAAAAAAAAAAAAATTAATTTAAAAATTATCCCTCTTTCTCCTGGTAAATAAAAAAATTTTTTAAATTATCCAGGCGTGGTGATGCATGCTTGTAGTCCCAGCTACTTGGGAGGCTGAGGCAGGAGGATCGCTTGAGCCCAGGAGTTTGAGGCTGCAGTGAGCTTTGATTTCACCACTGCACTCCAGCCTGGGCAAAACAGTAAGACCCTGTCTCACACACACAAAAAGAGAACAAATCTAAAAGGATTTATGAAAGCTAGTCAGTTCAAGCCTAGCCACCTGGAGTGGACTGTTCATTCAAAATTGCAACTGACTCTAAGGCAAGTACTACAGATCAGAATGAATATAACCACCGTCTTCTCCACACTTGGAGACAGGGCCTCCAATGTTCATGTACGTAGTTTTAAAATTGGGGGAAAAATACAGGGACTCTGGTTAGAGACATCCCATCACCACCTTCAGCTCTAACTGAACTGTATCAGACCTGGAGAAGGCTGTAGCTACGCAATGCAAGGAGGAGGGCTGTAGGCCACACCTGTGCAACACACACCTACCTTTCTCACCACAAAGCTTATGCTGTGCAGAACCGATTTGAGGCTGCCACTTTGCTCCTCTGGGCCAGTGGCTCCCTTGGCTGGTGGACTCCACTCACTGTATGCCTCTGACCTCTGTTTCTTGAATAAATGCCTTTTCTGGTTCTGCACTTTCTTTGGGTCACTTTTCCTGCTGGCTTCATGCTCCCATGTCAAGGTGGCATTTGCTAAAAGCAAGACAGTATCTGGGTCTTCTGGTTGGGTGATGTAAGATGGGGGGCTTTTATCTATGAGAATTTTCTAAGATTAAAGAGACAAAATTAACTGAGCAGATGTCATCCATTTGCAAGAATCATCCCAATATATCTCCTAATGACCCCAAATCACAGTTTTGGCCATTCTAACCCAGCACATCCAGGAAAGAGGTTCTGAAATTATTCCCCCAGGAGAAGCTGCAGCAGAAATAGTCCACTAGCTCATGCTATCTGGGACAGTTGCCTCTTTAACCACAAGGCCTATGTGGGTCACCCACATTGGAGAATACTGATCCCAACCACATTTCACCCTTGTGCCCAAGACAGTCAGTCTTACCAGTCTTTGGGCAGTGGACTTCACTGCTTGGCACTAAATGCTTATGAAACCAAGGTCATATGCTCAATCTCTGCTGTGTCCTCTTCCTAGGCCACTCAGTCCAGTTCGACAAAGCATTTGCTAAGCCCTAACCATGTGCCAGACTTTGGGGTAAAAGCAGAAATGCAAATATAAATAAGGCACAGTTCCTGTCCTTGAAGAGATTACAGTCTGGAGGGAGATGAGAGCATGCACGGATTGTTTCTGTAAAATGTGATGAGGTCAAAGCACTGCGACTGCCAGAGAAGGGACACTTGGCTTCTCATTCTCGAGGTCCATGCACTTGGTGCTTGAGCTGGGTCTGTACAGGTGTTGTATAGGCAGAGATGAGAAAGGGAAAGAGGATGACAGCATTCTACCTGAGGGCCCAGCATGGGCAAAGGCAAGGAGCATGCAAAGGCATGGTTTGTTGGGGTGGCGGCATGAAACAAGCAATTCAGGATTACTGAGGCACAGAGTTCAAATTGGGAAGGGAGGGGGACACAAAACTGAGAACGCACAGATGGAGAGCCTGGAGGGGACAAGGGTTCAAGGATTTTGAGCAGGTGAGAATGAGTATTGGTAATCAGACCAGTGTTTTAACAGCTCTCTTTGGGTTGAGTGCTATATGGACTTGAGAAGAATGTTAGAAAAAGAAGGGTTAGGTCATAAATCACTGCACTAATCAGATGAGAGATGAGGGAGGCCTCGATTGAAGGCAGTGGCAGTAGGGACAGAGTGAAGGTTGAGGAGTCAAGAAATGCCACCCTTTATCTAGTCTAAGAAGCACCTTTATTTTTTTTCTGATATCATAATACATGCAATTAATGTGATGGTGTTCTTATGTTTTGTTCAAAGAGTAATAACTCAACAGTGTACCTTCCAATCCAATCTTACAATGGCGCCCCTTAAAATGGAGAGAATACCATAATCAAGGGTTGACTTAACAGGGTTCTTGACTGGTTGAATGTGTATGGTAAGGAAAAAGAGGAGTGCATGACCCAGGATGCTTACAATGACTTCCGGATTTCCGACTTGGGTGAGTAAGATCATTCAATCAATTCATAGATGTTTGAACAAGCTTCTGTGTTGATAAAAATGCCCTTCTTCCCTTTCCTCCCCTCAGTTGAACTTTCAAACCACTTTATTTGCCCTTCTTAAATGTCGCTTATATCCTTATCATGTATAGAGATTCTTAGAGTGCCTGGTCCCACACTGGAACAGAGGCTCTTGAGGACAAAGCCTCTCTATTCCTTATATTTGCATTTCCCATGTCTTATACATAGGAGGCACAAAGTAAATCTTTGATGAGTGAATAAATGAAGGAATAAAGGGACTAAATGAGTGCATAAATGTAGGGACCCCAACATCCTCTTCATCACTTCCATCACCATGCCCATCAAAGGACAAACTAGGTAAAGTGGAGATGACTCAGTACAAAACCAACCTCACTTGTGGAACACTTAGGATGTATAGATTGTTTAAGGAAAATAGGGTCAGGAACATCTTCTTCATGTACAGAGACTCTATCTCATCATTTCTACAGACAACCTATAAAACTCTGCCTGCTCTGTCCTTCATACACATTTATTCATCTAACTCTGAATGGATGCCCTCCTCCCAGTGTCAACTCAACAAGTGACCCAGCTCTCCAGCAGGTTGGTATAGACTCCACATATCTGAGCATTTTCCCACCCCAAAATGAGATCTCTCTTCCCTACTCACCCAGGGTTAGTTATACCTTCATTCTCCTTAGAGAGACATTCGCTTCAGCCATTGCTTTGATGGAGAAGGGCAAGATTGCAATGGAAAACTTCATTACATTAAACATGGCAATCACACTAAATGCCTGAAGAACAAAAGAGAAGTATGAGGGTTTAGAAGGAGAAGTCACCTTGGCTCTAAACTGTTATACACATGGGGATTAAACTTGCTCAGATGAGAAATGGCGGCATCGTTGGAATGCACAGAGGAACAATCTTTTCACTTCGTGGCTCAGAAACCATGGGTTGGCCAGTTGGGGACAGCAGCATCTTAATCTATTTTGCTTTGGGATTTTCACCAAAACAATGACAAGTATATCCCCTTGTCTCTGTTGATTCAGAAGGGAAGAGGTCTGAGGCAGGCCACTAACAGAATACATTTGGCAATCTCCATCCACACTGCATCCTCATTTGAATCTAGACTATTCACTCAAAGCCCATGCAGACTGTCCTAAAGCACCCCCTGCTCTCAGTTCTTCAGAGGCATCTGACCCTTTGGAGCGAGAGCATCATCGTCACGCTACACACCACACCACACCACAGCCTCAGGGATGGGGCTGGAAGCTCCCCAGAGAGACCTGCTTGCACCTGGGGGAAGCTGGAGGGTGACCTCACTCTCCTGTTCCCAGGACCTGGCCTCCATGCCCTGCCTCCCCACGCACCACACGAGGCCAGATTTGAGAGCCTTTGGTCAACTCTGGTTCCCCCCATCCTCCCCCACAAAAAAATCACCTCTGTTCACGCGGCCTTCCTTGCTGTGCCTTGCATAGTGGGTGGTTGATATTCTATAGCCTCAATGAAAACAAGCCTTCTCCCTTTGGTTGGTGCCCCAAGGGTGCATGATTTCATCTCTCCAATTTCATCTTCTCATCTGTCCGAATTGTAATTAGCAGCCTCTCCCTAGCTACCCATTTAAGAAATTGATAATACAACTTTCTTCATCTAATCCTGAGTGATCCTGCCTGCTGTTAAATGGGCCCCACGGACAGGGCCCCAGGCTTCAACTAATCCTAGTCCCTTCATTAAGAGGATAATGAAAGATGCTTCTATCACATCTGGTCCTAAATACATCCTCAAAGGGAATTCAGTTCTTCCAGGTCCCAAAGCTCCACCTTGGCTCAGGAAGCCCAGGCCTGGCTGACAGAGCACATGAGTGGCCTGACGTGACTGAATACCCTGGAGCTGACGGACTCCTGACATGACCTTAGCAGAGGAAGTGACTGCAATCAGTTCTGAATCCAAAAGACCCAGAGCTTTGCAAATTTGGTTTTGGTATAGATTCCCTCTAAACTATCATGTTAGAAAATATGAACTACGTGCACTCAATTTGATTTGCTTGATATGCTCCTGGAGAAAAAAAAATAGTATTCCTTTTGGTCTGGGATCAGAGAAAGTCACAATAATTGAGCAGCCTTGGTGTATCCTTGCCATTCAATCTGGCTTTGGGCTCACAGCTGGGCTGAAGGCCCGAAAGTGTGTCAAAGTAAACTGTGCATGAGTGATTGCCTGCTGAAGAACCAGAGAAAATAAAAGCAACTCACCAAGAAACACAGGGCAATAATGGGACTAAACACAGGGCAGCCATGGGTCCCACAAAGGATGGCTCAGCAAGCACATTCTGGCTTTGCAAACGTCACCTCTTTCCTCCCCCGTGAGGTCCCTGATTTTAGGTGCAATTCTTCCTCTACGAACTTACTTATTTCCTTCTCTCTCTCTCATTTTTTTCTTGTCTTTGTTGACTTTCCTCCAACTACTTAGTTTAATACTTAGCTGGTTTTTTCTTTATTTAAGCCAGGAATCATTTTCCCTGTAGCTCAACATTTCTTTATCTTTGGATGTCCAGGCCCCTTGTAAAGAACTTGAACATCTCACATTCATCCCAGCTCTCCCTCTAAGGCTTTCAATCCTCATTTGCCTGGCCCAGGTGAGAATCAAGGTTAAGAAGAATAGCTAACACTTGTATAGGACCTAAGAGCCTGAGATGGTTCTACATGCTTTACACGAAATAACTGATTCAGTCCTCACAACAGCGCTGATTGTGGTTATTATCGTCCCATTTACAGATAACAAAACCGAGGCCAGAGAGGCTCAATGATTTGCTGTAAGTCATAGCTACTAAGTAGCAGAGTCTGGATTTAAACGAGGCCGACCGGGCTCCTAAGCCCAGA